TTGGTAGTTAGCAGGCAAAAGCTATACACTTCCTCGCGTAGAAACTAGGTCGCCTATTTGGTTTACACTTAGATCGACAATGGTTAAAAAGAATTATCATGATTTCTTTGGGTTTTCTATCCTCGTCTCAGAAAATGTATAAATTATCATTGTCAGTGAAATGAATTCACCATTCAACATTATTGGATGTTGGATGTGGAGGTCTCTGATATCAGCTCAGATTCTGAAAAGCTAAAATCCACAGGATGTTTCATTCATGAAGATGAAATCATAGCCGTGATGGCCGTAGGTCAGAATCTGAAGAAATGAGATATAGACCTGGAGGCCCCTAAGGAGGGGCCACAACGTGTTTTTTGTTTCACTTCAGACTCCCCAAAGAGTGAGGGCTGCTTTGAAAATAAACTGCTCAACACATGAAACGTAAATAACTTTCGATTTCCTGAACCGATTTTCAATTATTTCCAGTTTCTGAAAGCTTGTTTCATTGACTATCGAACCTTAGGATATGACTATTTCATCTTTTCCGGGTGAGATTCTACAGGATGATAATCAAAGCTGTGCATTTTTTCAAAAATTTCAAACGCCTCCCGTTTGCAAGAAAAATGTTCCTTTTTTTTCGATTCAAAAACATATTGCTTTATATGTTTTCTCGATACTGTGAGAAAATTTTTGGAATTGTCACACGCGTTACTGAAATATGAATGTTTTATTAAGATAATGCATAATTTGATGCTCTAATTTCTATTGGCTTCGTGTTCTGGTCAATCTGGTTTGGAAGGTGGTCAAAAATCTTGAAATGATGCATGATCAACCTATTCTTATATACAGGGTGGTCCTCAAACAACAATTATGACATCGAGTAATAAAAAAAATCTTGTTTTGACGAGCAAGAAAATTTCGAAGCAGGAAACCGACTGAGAAGTTTTCTGGTGATCAAAGCGTGTAGGAGAGGTTGTCATCACCATGTCATGTTGCTACAGAATCTTGCTTATGCTTATATAACTGTACCAAATTTTAGAAAGATCCGATCACGAACGCTGAAGTTATACAGAGGGGTGGCTCGATACCATGTGTCACCCAGTATAGTTCAAATCAGAATTATATACTCCTGGTTCCTTATTATAAAAAGCTTTATGTTTATTTAAGATGTTACCTACCTCATTATATTTTAGTTTTTTTGTTATTTTTTTTTTGTATTTTTCTTTGTATATAAATTAAAAGCACGATTTCAATATTTATTATTTCGTTTCATTTATAAATAAATGATACTATTGTTTTCTTCAGGCATGTTACGCAAGTAAATATGAAAATTCCACGCCAGTAATTTTTAACCAATCAAATTGGTTTTTTTGACAAATTTCTATATATAGCAACGTGTGATGTACTGGTTCTGAATTATGTCTTGTTTATCAAGAACTGCAGAAGGCAGGACGAATTAAAGGGGTGTGTGTTTCGAATGGTGAAATCACTACTGACGAATGTGATTTTATATGTATAATCTGAAGAACACAGTCTATATAACATCTATAGATAACTAAACTACCCCAAAGTCCCAAAATAATGTCTAGTAAATACTGAGTCAACACCACGTAAACACGAAGTATAACTGATGATTTCAGTAATGTATGATAGTGTACTTGGAGTATCCACTTAAGACTCATTAACAGCTCTGGTGGTAAATAGGTATAATCGCCACATCAAACAGCAATACTCCATTCACTTGCGGAATTCTATACTCAGGAACATTCAAATACCATCGCAGACGATGAATATTATCTGAATTGGCGAAACGTACCTACCCAATTCAGCGATATTAATCATAGCGACAATCTCTGCAGTCATCTCGAAAGATCTGTTGACAGTTCTCCCCTTTGACACCTCCCGCAATCGTGATAAAAGTTCAAAATCACTGTATACAGGGTCCGCTCACTACAAACGTATGTATTTTATTATATTTTTGAAGTTGATACAAAATTGAAGAATAATATGACATGTTACATTCTGAACTGGTATTTTCATGTAACTTTATACTGCGCATTAGGTAGAAATCAACAATTTGTAAGCTCTAGAAATCTATTGATGCCGAAACTGCGAAGGAAACTAAATTCGTTCATGATTCATGAACCTATACGAAAATCAAATAAATCGATTATAAAATTATTTAATTCTCAAAACACAATCTGGTGAGGACTTTCATTAATTATTAAATATTAATTTCCGGAAATAATTCAACCTCTGAGTAGTGGTATTACAAGTGAAAATACTGAGAGCGAACGCGTCACAAATATACAGGTTGTTTCGAAATTCGAACGACAACGTTTCAAAAGGGGTTATATTGTGAAAAGCTCTCCTGGTCTGATGAAACATCAGGATCGAGAACAGATAAGTTATTCGTTTCCATTCAATTACTCTCTGGTTTGTTACGCTTTTAGTAGGGGTCACCTTGGGAAACAACTTCTGATAAGGGCTGCGAAAAGACCTTATTGCGGCATACTTTCGCATTGTAGATATGTAAAGTCAGATGCAACAAACATGTCGCAGTTGGATGGTGTTAGCGCTCTTATTGCAGAAGTGATTAGAGGTGCTATCATCACCCATGTTCATTGCATCTGACTGTACATAATGTACAGGGTGTCCCAAAATTGCTGGGACACAAAGCCATCACGTGTATAACAGTTCAAGATAAGTTGATTGATGGACCCAACTTGTTTATATAAAAAATAAACCGTTTATCCGTGAGATGAGTTCAAAATTTACCGATAAAAACATATTTTTTCTGTGACGAGAAAAAAGTTTGACATTTTATCTCTGTTGGCAGGTTATAAAATGTCACTTTTCATAAATTACTTTTATCTCGTGGGAAAAAAAAGAGTACTTTTTTTCCGGATATATATCACATATATACACTGTTAATGACTTTTGTTGTGCTATAGCTCCGAAAGATGAGTCAATAATACCCAGAAAGAATTGAAAGTCCTTTTACCTTCCATTCGACTTCGCGGTTACTTATATTAATTACTAAACAACCACTAAATTCGCAATTTTTTTAAATCAAATCACAGAATTAGACTGACAGAGGTGACATCAGATATTTGATTACCTGGAGCTAAAATCTACTACTTTTTTTCCTTGTATAATAAATAACTATTTTCTACAAACGTGAAGAAATGACAAGGTTCGCGCATTGATAACAAATTGCGAAGTGATACTTTCTTTTCAGTTTCCTATAAGTTACCATGATACCTTGCACAAAACAATGCGCGAATCTATGTTCTTGTTTGTTTAATCTATGGCGCGAAGTACCTACTATGAGATATTTATATTTCAACAATCCACGGAATCATTTATTTCTGAATTTTCAACAATAACTTTGTTTTATCTCTTGTAGCGCACGAAAGGAAATTCCTATTATGTTCGTGGAACATCGTACGTGCCTAGGGAGGATAGGGAGATGCCTTTTAAGCCAGTTCAACACTATATTTTATATCAAGCTCAGCATATTTTCACTTTAGAGCTATATTTTTTTACGTTTGTAGAAAGAATGTTGTTTGCAACTCGAGCGCGAAATACTTTGGTCATCTCGAGTATTTTTTTACTCGGCTACGTCTCGTTAAAAAAATCAGATCTCGATGACCATAGTAGCATTTCGCGCTCTAGATACAAAAATAACTATTTTGTGCGATGTTCAAGAATGATTGAAACATATTGGATGAAATTTGACAAAAGTGCATTTAAGAAGAGGATAACCCTTCTTTCAGTTATCAAAGAAACGTGAAAGACATTGTTGGAGGGTTGAAACCACCCTTATTTCCTGACATTTTTTCAGATCATTCTTAGGGGTGGTAATAGGTTTCTCAATTTTATTAGGCGAGATGACTGTTCATCTATCTTTATTTTGTTACTCTTGTAAACATTTCGTATTCCGCATAGTTCCGAAGGAAAAAAATGCTTTCTTAAATGATGCTAAGAGATATTCCTATAGTGAAACTTTGATAAAATTGTAATACAAAATTATTTGGCAGTTTAAACAAACGAATTGATATAAGTATTGATGAAGGTAGGAGTCATATTGAACAGTGATTAAAAAAAAAACGTTCTGCCTTCGTTTCCACTGTCAACAAAATTTGCCATTATAATGATATTGAACTTTTACTAGGAATATCTGTTATTATTACCATTTCGCTCAGAGAATTTGAGAACCGTTTTACCACCCCTAGGAATGTTCTGAAAAAAATGTCAGGAGGTAAGGATGGTTTCAACCCTTCTACAATTCCTTCTGGGTTTCTTTGATTTCCAAAAGGCGGGTTATCCTCTGAAATGCACTTTTGTCAAATTTCATCCAATTTGTTTCACTCTTTTGTGAACAGTGTACAAAAATGTGTATTTTTATGTAATCTTTTGTACTCGTCTCACGGACAAACTGTACAAGAATTGGGTCCAATCAACTTATTTTGACTTGTATTACACGTGGTACCTCTTCTATGGATATCCCCGTATCATCTTACATTTTGGGCAAATCTTGTGAGCTCACGAGTCACGCCAAGTCATACTTCACCTAGTAGATCCAGCTTCTTAATGAAGCCGATTAGTTTACTAGTGAGTGATATTACAGGTCCGGGGGGAAAGTGAAACCCTGCCAAACTTCTTGTTCATTATTCGAAGTTCGAACGTGATTCGAATCATTCATTTTGATATACTATTTTTTACTCGTGACACTATCGACACTATTGAAAGTATTGACATTCCAGTGTTGACGTACCGCAGATGCACCAACATGATTTCCAACCAGTCAGATGTGGGGTTCACAAAAACTTATTTTTCTTATGAATAACTTTCATTAGAAAACTGAGTAGACTCCTACATACAGATTTCACCAAAATAAAGGTATTTGCGTGAAACTTCCATAATATTGCTTCAACGGTGGTGAAGGTTTTTAGGTTGGCAATTTGTCCACCATTGGGTACCTATCTCAAAGATGAAGTAATGTCAAAAAATGAAAAATGGATCTATCATGCAAATGTCAAGCAATTCCTTTCGAAAATGAAGAATTATTCGTTCGAATAGATGATGAACTGAAAAGCGTTGAAAAGATCAATCTCGATTTCGGGAAAGTCGCAGTTTTTGGACATTACGTTAGAACCATTTCAATTGAAAATTTGGAAGAAACGGTAATGCGCGTCAGAAAATATGTGTGAATATTTCTGAATGCAGTTTTCTAGGAGATCCTGAGTTACAGAATCAAGAGAGATGCAGAAGTTGATGAAATTTACCAAGTATTTAAATTCAATAAGGTGGAAGGATTCCTACTTAAAGGCAAACAACTCAAACTTAAAATCTCTTACTACCCAAAAATCCCATTTCAAATTGATATAGATCACTTCGAGTTTGTTGACAGTTGTTTCAACATCATACAGATTACAGTGAGAGGAGAATCAATAGGTTTATACCCATACAAATTATATGTCTTTCTGATAAATCATTATGGTCAATCTTCTAGGGCCACAACTAAGCACTTCAGTAAAATCTCTAGCTTTCACTCTGAGATCTCCGAAAAAACTATGCAAGAATATACTGGAAATCAAAAATGCCACCGAAATTCCAGCAGAATTCAAATTTGATGTGAATGAAAATGAAGAACTATTTCGAGTTGAACCAAAACAAGGCACTATTGAAAGAAGTATTTATATAAACATATCCTTCACACCCAAAGAACTTGGGGTGTACTCACAACAACTAGCATGTTTAGTATTTGGCCATGTAAGTATAGAACTTGATATAGGTACATTTGCATTTTTGATGAAATAGAAATGTCTTCATATCATATCTTATTCTCATACTGGTTTTACGAAATCAAATTAGACCTGGTATTAGTGGTATTATTGAATTTGCGTTGGCGCTACTACTGTAAGTGACGAATAATATTCGCGAGATTCACGAAGTGGGCGACATCTAGGTTACATAATACGAACTTCAAACTGGGGAAAAACAAACTGTTGTCTAGGGATGAAGTGCATAGACTACATTGCATTCAGCTTGCTGTAGCTGTATTCAAACTTGTCAATGACATCAAAATCAAATCAAATCAAATATTTTATTCATTCAAAAGACCTAATTTAGGTATAGAATTTGTCAAGGTCAAAATACAACACATGTTTGTTTAAAATAATTATGTATAAAATTATAAAATGCCTTAAAATGTAAGTACCTACGTAAAAACAACACACAAATTAAAATGAAAAAAAAATGCTGTCACATAAACAGTTCATTGATATCATAAAATAGATTTGCCATCAGAAAATGTTTAATGGAATTTCGGAACTTGGAGTGTGATGATTGATTCTTTATCTCTTCAGGTAATTGGTTATAGACTCTTATGCCAGTTGAAAGTGGACCACTTGATTATATGTGAAGGTTATTTTGACTTGGATATATCAACTGGTTGTATCTGGTTTGGTAGCAATGTATGTCCATATGCCTAGGAAGAGTGTTTCTTATTTTATGAATGCAACATGCTAATTCCAATATATAGAGACATGCTAGGGGTAATATATTCAACTCAGCAAATAGGGGTTTACAAGAGAGTCTGGATGATACGCTTTTCATGGTTCTCAGTGCTTTTTTCTGTACTAGGAATAATTGCTGAGCCGCTGGAGAATTACCCCATAGTAAAATGCCATAAAGTGAAGTGGACTGAATTTCTGCAAAGTAAAAATTTCTCATACAATGAATGTCAACAACCTTCTGCATACATCGAATTTGAAATATTTTTGTATTTATCATTTTGATTTTATTAGATATATGATCTTTCCAACTGAGATCATCCTCCAGAGTTATTCCTAGAAACTTTACTGTTTGTTTCCTATTGATTTCAAAGTCATCTAATTTAATTGTGATCGGATTGTGAATAATTCTCTGTCTAGTATGAAAGATCAAATACTCCGTTTTTTCGGTGTTGAGGAATAACTGATTCGCCGAAAACCATTCACCAAGTTTATGGAGAAGACGATTACATGCTATTTCATTCTGTTCACTACACTCTTGTGATACTAGAAAAGATGAGTCATCGGCGTAAAGTGTAATTTTATATTCAGGTATGAATTCAACCAAGTCTGCAATAAACAATGAGAAAAGAATTGGTGCTAGAACACTGCCCTGTGGTACTCCCAGTTCCAGTTTCGAGGTGTTAGAGCAATGCTTGCTGATAGAGCCATCAGTTTCCTTGAAATTGATCTGAACAAACTGACTTCTGTTTGATAGGTATGATTCGATCCAATCCGCTGCTTTACCTCGTATGCCACAAAGCCAAAGTTTTTCCAGCAATATGTCATGAGGTACGCAGTCGAATGCTCGGCTCAAGTCACAGAATATCCCCACTGGAGATCTTCTTCTATTGATCTCTGCTAAGACATTGTTGTAGAAATCAACTGTTGCAGTAGTTGTGGATTTCTCCTTACGGAACCCATGTTGCTGATCAGGTATTAGTTTAAATTTATTGATAAATGGGATAAGTCTATCAAGCATACAGTACTCTGCCAATTTGGAGAATGGGGAGAGACCAGATACAGGTCTATAATTCTCAATACAGGTTCTATCTTTTTTTCTGTATACTGGAGTAATTTTAGCTGACTTTAGGCAGTTTGGGAAAATACCGGTTTTAAATGAATAGTTGACTAAGTGAGTCATAACTGTAACTAGCTCACTGCCGAATTCTTTTATTAGAGCTGTGGGAATATCATCTGGACCTGTAGACATCTTGTTTTTTAGCTTTGACACAATTTGTGTCATTTCAATTTCTGTAAAGGGAATCAATCCGAATGAATGCACATTACTCTTACCTGAGAAGTTAAAATTATTATTATTTTTTATGTTTTTCACCACATTCTTAGGAGCTTCAATGAAAAAGTCATTGAATGCATCAGCTATAATTTTTGGATTAGTAATTTCATTGTTATCTACTGAAATTTTCATGTTCATTTTTTGTTTTATTTCTGAGCTTGTTAATGATTTCCCAGGACGTTTTATTCTTGTTGTTGGATTCCTGAATGATGTCACTATAGTATGATTTTTTGGTTATTTCTACCAGGTGCATGTGTTCAGCTCTCAATAATTTGTAATGGTTATTCAGTTCAGGGTGTTGCTTCTGTAATATAAAGAGGTCTTTCAGATTTGCACTTGAGTTTTTGATTTCTAATGTAACCCAAGACTTATTATTTGTCTTATTTATTTTTTTTTGCATTGGAAAACATTTATCAAATATCACCAGGAACCTTTCTAAAAATATGTTGAATTTATTATTGCAATCCTGAGTATCATACACTTGCCCCCATGACTCATCTTTCAAGCATTGTCCAAAAACTTGTTTGTTAATGGAATTGAAATATCGTTTTTTCATAAATGCTGTACAGTGATTATTGTTTTTATTATTAATAGACTCTGAACCAGTCTTTACAATTATGAATCTGTGATCCGATAGATGGGTGTCGTTAACTGATGTTTCAATTACATTCCCTGAATTAGTGAATATGTTATCAATTCTTGTTGAACTAATGGAAGTTACTCTAGTATTTTCAGACACTATGTCATGTAAACCATATTGTGCCATTATATTTAAGATCTCATTTGCCTCAGATGAGGTATTGTTGAAGTTCACATTGAAATCTCCGGTAATCCAAAGATACGCATTCAAGGAGAATATTGCATTCAGGACGACTTCCAGCCTTTCAATAAACACTTGAAAATTGCCTGTTGGAGCTCTATATATACAAACATAAAGTATTGGCGCTGTTGGTAATGATGATGGTTGAGTTGGTTAATTTTTTTACAATATTACATTTTTATTAGTTTAGTGAACAGTGAACGGGTGAAGAATTGGAGATGGATCAAACAATTCAAACTAATTATGACGAGCAAATCAATTGACATATGAAAGAACAGCTACACAACATGTTTACAATACCCAGATTGTCCTGCTTTGCATGAACAAATACAAATCCATTGTTCTACAGGAGTTCCTCTGGACCCCAACTTCAAATTTACTTCATGTGGGGAAGATTTCATCGCCGAAGTTTGTAGACAAAGTGCAAAAATGTGCCTTTTGTTGAAGTCTTCTGCCTCACACAAAATCACATGATTAGCACGGAGAACTGCTTCTCCTTCCACTACTTGTCGGCTTTTTCCATCTGAATAGAGCAAAATATCTGCCAAAAGAACATCTACAACCAGGCATTATTAGCGTTTTCGATCGAATATATCGACAATCAATGTCAAGAAATTCAGAAACTCATCACTCTTATCAGTACACAGTACACAAGCTAATGGCACTAATGGGATTGAGTGAGGATTGAGTTTGTTTTCCCCCAGTTTTGACGTGGCTTTGACATGGAACGATGAAAACCGAGCGCCACCTGGTAACATTGATTCACGCGAATACAAAAAACATTTTGACTATGGCGATGCTAGTGATGAAACGTGTGATATTATCATCGGTCAATGGCAGCTAACAAATTCGAATTAACCAATAATATCCAATCGCCTAGCAGAAAACTGAGCTTTACACACGTTTGCGTAAATCGAGCGATCGCACGGTTTTCATAGGTATTTTGATAGACGACTTTGTTTTGTTGCTTGATGGGCGATGTGTCAATTATTAAGCGATGACGATGAGATTATTTCTGCACCACTAGAAATTCTGAGAAGAGCAAAAATGGCAACAGATGAGTTGTCCCGTGAAAGATACGAAGTCGCTTACAAAAAATGCATGGACTGAAAACTCAGGAATAATATCATGTCATTATCGGAAAATATTCTGTTACTTTCAAAAACTGCACAGTTACTATAAATAACCGTTATAAACGTTAATTATACAGGGTGTTCCATAAGTCATTGATCAAAAGAAGTGGGGTGGTAGAGGGGGTCATTGCAAACAAACTAACGGTATATGTGGCTATCAAATAGGCAATTTCACTATGATTGAAAATAGCCCTTTTTATATGGCGAACGGTCTCATACATGACTCAGTATATCAAATAGCACTTCCTCTCATCTATTGATTCCTTTAAAAACGTTTAATTAATACTTCAAAAGTGCTTCAAATGAAGAGAGTTCCAAACGACCATTTTTCGCGGTGTGACGTCACTTGTATTTTCTTGAGGCACCCTCTGACGACCCAAAGAGGATGCGTTGCACAAAACCACAGACACAGAACTCGAGCACAGAGTGGTTGGATGATCTGTGACTTGAGAGAAGAATGGCTACAAAACAAACTATAGAAAAAGAAAAAGATTAACCTCGAAATCTAGTTCATAGCTCATTATTTCATTTCATTCTCAGTGATCTATCAGTGTCATATTATAGTTTTTATTGAGTGACAAATGCAATGACAAATGGTGACAAGACCAAGTGACAAGACGAATTACCCAATGAGAATGTCCGTCCGAAGTGTATGACGCGGTGTGACGCACCTTGTATTCGTCCAATGAAATGCCATCAATATTTCGCGCGCATTCGAGCTATCGTTTGAATTCAGGTTCAATTTGATAATTTTTTTCTGGGTCAACCGCAATCGTAAGAAAATTGAAAAAATGTTGAATTCACTCAGTATGTGTTCTTGATAGTGAAAAAAAAAATCAAAAAATCATGCTGAAATTCCCTATTGTTGATGGTTCAAAAGTTATTAAATTTTTCTGAAAAACGTGACCCATTTGAAAAAAATCAATAACAAAAAGGCTGTTTTGAATAACCTCATATGTTATACCATATCAGAATCTGTATTGAATGGGCAACTACTTCTTTGTGGGGTAGTTTTTGAATATGCCAACGACATTCAAAAATCAACTCAAATATTTCATTCAATGTCAAAACTCAAGAAATACAACATTTTTTTCAGGTAATTGAGAAGAAGTAACACATGACATGAAATTATTTCTAGGGTGCATCCATGTGGATGAAAGTAAAAAAAATCACAAATGTGACATGGTTCCATTGTAATTAATTCTTTTTATAGAAATGAAAAAAAAAACTTTTGAACCACCCACAATTGGATAACAACATATACGGTTGGTTTGAATCTCGATGGTAATGAAATGACCCCTCCTACCAACCCACTTCTTTTGATTCATGACTTATGACACCCCCGTATTAATCTTAAAACAAATATTGTACCACATTGAGAAGGATGGATGGTTTCCATGACTTAGTTATATATGGTCATCAAATGTGTTTTTTTGTTATCAGTAAAGTTGTTGAGATATGAAAAACGATTTCATTTTTGTTCAAATTGAGGGATAATGCTCATTATGCCATTCACTAATAAACAAATACAAGCGTTGTAATTGTTACCTTTTCATGCATTAAGCTTGATGTGACGGGAGACGTAGGTATTCGATATTTGTGTCTTAACACAATATCTGTAATATCCTGAAGGAATTATAGTGTAGTCGTAGAAAAAGTACAGTACATTTCTCGAGTTGTAAAGCAATTACGCACATGTGAAGTGCTACGCGGCATCGTGTGTAACTCTCTCCACTTCGCGCGTAAAATGCATTTTACAACTCTTGTTGTGTAATATACAATTACCTACGACCGCAATAGTAAAAATTGGCCAAAACACACGATACACAGCCTCAGTAAGTAGGTCATTACGCACGGTAAGCACAGGTTGAATATGCTCAACCTGATGTCATGATTGGAGAAATCTAAATACTTCTTATACAGGGTGAGTCAAAAATGTGTACCGAGCTTTCTGAAGGTGATAGGACTTCGAAAAATAAGTATGTATAGGTAAGCACAGTTTGAATATGCTCAACCTGATGGCATGATTGGAGACATCTGAATACTTCTTATACAGGGTGAGTCAAAAATGTGTACCGAGCTTTCTGAAGGTGATAGTATTTCGAAAAATGAGTATAGTTTGATGTATAAACTAATGACCCAAAATGTATATCTGGTTATAATATTGAAACCTCTTTGTATGATCTTTTCGTACTTGGAAGGTATAGTCCACTTATATTATACATCAAAACTAAAGAAAAATCGAGATCAGAATCCAGGTTTGTCTGAAGGAAAAATCGAAAACTTCTGTTATTTCAAGAACAACACTCTGTATAGCAACATTTTGTACCATACCAGACAGATCTGAATGGAATGACGGAGAACTCAGCACTATACTGCAGGGAAAGATCTGGTATACAGACGGGTCCAAGACTGCGAATGGGTCAGGAGCAGGAGAGTATACTCCAAACATCCAAAAAAAAAAAAAAAAAAAAAAAAAAAAAAAAAAAAAAAAAAAAAAAAAAGGGATTGCAAGAGGGAACTGAGAACTCTGGCAGACCGGAACTGCGTCAAGCTAATCTGGGTGCCAGGTCATCAGGGGATCGCTGGCAATGAGAAGGCTGACGAACTTGCCAGAAGAGGGTCGGACAACGAGCCAGATCCAGGACAGACTCTTGGAACCAAAACGTACAGCACGAGTGTCAGTTAAAGACTGGATTCAGGCAAAACATAAGAGCTACTAGGAAAACATCCCAAGAAACAGACATGGGAAACAATACATTGAGGAACCAAGTCATAAACGAACTGTAGACCTGCTCAACTTGAACAGAGCACAGATAAAAACTATTACGGGACTCATGACTGGCCATGCGCCAGTAAAGGAGCATCTCGCCAGAATGGGACTATACAATGGCGACCCAAGCTGCAGACTATGTGGCAAGGAACCAGAAACAGTAGCACATACACTGTGCCGATGTGAGGCATTGGACCGCAGAAGACAGAAGATCTTTGGGCAACCAGAAGTATTCAACTCACATCCAGTGAAGGATTTGTACAGACTTGTTCAAGGTACAGAGATAATGGAGTGGGCACAATGAAGAACTTCTAGGTAAGATACAATGGGCCACCATAGGCCTAAGTGTCGTCGGAGACATGGTCAGACGAGCCTACAAACGGGGTGGAGTTTTTAGTGGGTAAACCCTGGCTAGATAGTCAGGGGAGTCCCACACTATCATATGGGGGATAGGACCCATATGGTGTCCATAAAGGATTTAAAATACCTCGACAAAAAAAAGCATTTTGTAGATCTGTTTGATATTTGACAAGAGTGAAAAAAAAATAATGAAGTGACTTTTACTTTTTACGAGCGCGCATCCAATTTGACAGATGTTTTATCATTATTTTACGAAATAGCCAGCTCCATTTTGGGGCATTTTTCTTGAAGTCTTTATCAAAAATCCAATTTCGACACAAAAAATATGTCTTCAAAGTTCAACATCATTAGAGTCAAATTAGGTGAACTATTGATAGATTTATTCGTTCGACAGAATAACTTGTCAATGACATAAGAAATTTTCTAGAGCTCATGTTATTCTTCATCATTCTTAAGCTGCGGTGAAGTAGGCTGTGCAAAAAATTCTGATAATCTGACAGGTTATCACTGGTGTGATATTATTGGTAACCTTAAGGTGTTGTTACATTTCAATGTGGTTATAATTATGCATTAACATAATAACCTTACCAATAATACCACGCTAGTGATTATGAACTGTCCGAATTATTTTTTTTACACATCTACTTCACCGCAGCTTATATGAATAAATCGCGAAGCACAAAATGAGTCCCCGAAAATTTCTAAAATCATTGACTAGATATTCTGTCATACAAATAAATCTATTAGTTCACCTAATTTGACTATGATGATTTTTAACTTCAAAGCCTGTTATTTTTTTTGCATTAAAATTGGATTTTGAATAACGAGTTCAATGAAAAAACCTTCAGAATTAGAGCTGAATATTTCAAAAAATGATAATGAAACATCTGTCAAATTGGGTGTGCGCTCGTTGAAAGTAGGTCGTTTCATTAATTTTTTCTCACTCTTTTCAAATATCGAGACAGATCTACAAAATTTTTACACACAGTTTGATGTTTTTGAAATGAAAAACGTTTTCTGTTTTTCCTCAAGACGGACCTGGATTCTGATATAGATTTATATTTAGTTTTGATTAGTATTATAAGTGGAATATTTCTACCAAGTATGAATGGATTATACAAAAAGATTAAAAAATTATGACCAGATAAAGATTTTGCCAAAATCAAGATAACGTCCTGTATCTCAGTTATAAAGGACGACAGTCACATCAATCAAAAATAATAAAACTTTATTTTCGTCGTGATAAATATAATTAGATATTTGAATGTCATTTTCAATTCTAGTTATATTTCTTCGAAAATAAAGATAATTTCCTATTTAATTGAGCAAAATTAATATTTTTTGACATACCTCGTATACGACTGAAACAATAAATTTGTACCTATCTGATATTTGCATTTCCGTTAGAATTACTTTTTTTCCTAAAATTGATCGTAAGAATGTTTTCCATTTGTTGTCGACCTACTTTTGATTCATTTTAGGATCCATTGATAATAGATCTATTTGGCGTTAATTCTGAAGAAACAAGTGATGTCACATTCAAACCATATCTATTTCCTTTTGAAGAAACAATTGGTTATGGGGCTTATTTGAGAGATACTGTAAATGTCAGGAAAACGGTGCCTCCTGTCTCACTCACCAAGTGCAACATAGATTTTGAAAGATTATTTTTGGAGAAGAATAAAGCAAATATTGCTACTCAGGCTACCAGTTTAACCAACCATATGAAGAAAGATATAGAAGTCAACTGGATCGAAGGTAATGACATTTAGCTGGAGAGCTCGTGAACCTTTTATATAATGGTTTGTTTGTAAGGCTAGAAATTTGTAAAGGCTGTTGAGTACGAAAACCATGACCTGGCAGGCCTCACCCTTGCACGTCACCATCCCCCATATATTTTATTATGATCCGATTTAGGTATTGCAGAATATAGAAAAAAATTGACAGGCGATTCTGATGAGCAGAAGTAGGTGCCAGGCGAGTCCAAAAGTCCAAAAGAGGACTGAAAATAAACTTCGCTCTGTAAGATTGAAATTCACACACATGTTCAACTAAGGTATTTAGAGCATACATGTGCAATGCCAGGCGATTCTTGCCACCAGAAGTACCTGACAGGCGAGGAAGCAGGTGCTACAATTTCAAGTCGGTTGCGACTCCAAAAAAAGAGATCATAAAAAATCAAAATCCTCTGCAAATCGAATAGAATAATATGATGTATTATGATATAAAATATAACTTACCGATATTGAAATGATATTCAACAGATATAATTCAATGTTCGACGTGGCAAATAGTCAGGAAAGTAGTTGTTTTCTGTTGAATATTCAGAATTATATTATATGCATATATCTTTATATGAAGGAGAATGCAAATTCTCTACTTCAGAAGATTTTGTTTTCAAATTCTAATCGTGTGTGTTCAATGGATGTGATTCAATATTCGTCGTGGCAAATAGTCAGGAAAGTAGTTGTTTTCTGTTGAATATTCAGAATTATATTATATGCATATATCTTTATATGAAGGAGAATGCAAATTCTCTACTTCAGAAGATATTGTTTTCAAATTCTTATCGTGTGTGTTCAATAGATGTAATTCAATATTCGACGTGGCATATAGCCAGGAAAGTAGTTGTTTTCTGTTGAATAAACCGAGAAATAATTGATGTTTTCATCACATGGAGAATGCGAATTCTTAATGTATTTCTTTCTATATATATATCCATTTTTTTGTGTTCATAAATATATCTGAGAATGTTCCTTTTCAATATATTGCTAGTGCTGAAAAAATTCAATTTACACCTTGGTAGTGAAGAATACTATTACCACTGGACCTTATACACCTCGGCTGAAGCGTAGGGATATAATCTTTGTCCCTGGGGAATAATGATATTCTTCACTACCTTGGTGTATAAATAACTATTACAAACTCCGAGATTGAAAAAACTAATACTAAAATATTGAATAAATTAATGAAAGATAGTTCTCTCATACTCATACTCTATTTTTGAAATGTTGACTATGCAGACTGATGATGGGTGGTTGGTGGTTGGTGGTTATTATATTGTAGTTGACATCGAAAAGTGGTGAGCCTTGGAACCGTCGCTTTGGCGTTTGAAAAAAAAACTAGTATTTACTTATAATCCCTGAAGGATTGAAAATGCCAACTCTGAAGCTTCAACACAGTACTCCAGAATAGTGTTGGAAGTTTCATCAACGTGATTAGTGTTATCCAAGACTCACTCCAATTGGAGTTTCCTTGAATTCCAGTTGTGAGGATCGTAAATGTTCCTAAATAATTATAATAATAATAATCTTTATTATTCCCAAGAAACATATATGTTTATAGCAGGGAAAATTATGAACGAGCAACTAAAAAAAAATATTAGATAATCAGATAATCATTTTTAAATCATATACATAGTACATATAATGTTGTTTCTTCTAGAGACTGCTGAATATAATTTCTTGAATTGATTCAGGATGATATAAAGAGAATTAAAGACATAAGTATTTTTTCAGTTCTTTTTTGAATTTCTCAACACTTAATTTTTTCTTCAGTCTGGCAGGTAATTCATTATAGAGAATTGTTCCATTGTATAAAATAGATCTTTTATCCATATCTGATTGAATTTTGATGAGAGTTAACATATCTTTTTGTCTGGTTATGTATTCGTGTTTATGACTTTATTTGCGGCAATTGGTTCAGGATTATTGTTCCCCGGAAATGATTTCTCAAGTTACCTTCATTCATGATTTCAGATGATCAAGTTTTCCGGGTATTCCCGAAAAGAGTGAGAATACCACCAAAAGATTCAGCTCTTTTTGAATTCTGCTTTGTACCTACGGACAACTATGGAATCTATAGCAAAACTTTGTTGGCACAAATCTACTGGTCACCTGAATTCAAATCGCTACAACCAGCTGAAGAAAGTTCAAGTATTCCCTTGTCGCTTGGTGTAAATCTTCAAGGTGAGTATAATACTCGTAAATGCAATTGATGTAAGTATATTTATAGTGAAGTGTGTATTTTCGATACTTTATCGGAGATATATCAGTTGTATATTTGGAATGAAGATGAAGAGTTGATATTTTCATATAATTACTAGCTGACCCCACAAGCGTTGTTTTGCTTTATACATTATTCCTACAAAATATTCATCAGAACACTATTTCTATTTCATTTTCTACTTCTTTTCAGTTTGGCTATTTATGAAAGCGTGGAAATCTCGTTGTGAAATTTTTTACAGAGAAAGTACAGGGTGGCTGGAATTCGAGCCTCATCATTGGGATCTCGTAAACCGTAAGAGATACAGGGTCGGTTGAAATATGGCAAAGTTGCGCAATTTGATGCCTAACAAAATGCCGTTCTGCAACTTGGAAAATTCCGAATACTTCCGGAGATATCCGAAAAAAATCGAAATTTCATAAAACCGTTTTTATTTTTTCTGGCGTTATTTGAAGAATTTGATCGATATTAATGACACTTTATCATAGTCACTTTTTCTTGCCTACAAGATGGCGTTTTCAAATTCGAAATCTGACGTTTCGTCTTCCAGAAACCATCATCAACTTATTTTTTTTAAATACGGACCTGGATTTTTCATTTCATTTTTTGTTGCCTTTGGATAGCCCAAAAACTATGAGCTATCACAAATTTCGATTTCCGAATGTTTCGATGACAAAAATTGACAGTTCCTTTATTTTTCAGAATATTACCGAAAATGGAAAAGGTGGCCTTGATTTTATTGATGACAAGTCACAACCACTCGTCAAAGTATGACAGTTCAATGTTTTGAATAATTTGTGGGATCAAAAATGGTGTTTTTCAATTCAGAAAAACGTGATATGGTCCGAATTTATTATAGTGTTAATAGAAACTCGCAAATTTCTTTTGAGAGATATTTACAGCAATACCCCGAACGACCACAACCGCATTACACGTATTTCAATAATTTGGACAAGAATTTGAATCTGTACGGTAGTTTTAGTAAACCCCGAAATGCGTATGGCGAAAGATTTGAAGCTGAAGATGAAGGAGCTGTCATAAATGCTGTAAGAAATGATTATTTATTTAATTCAATATTCGCCATAATATTTCATCGAGAAATTTTCAAGGCTGCGGAAAATCCTCGAGGTTCCACACGACAATTTGTTCTAGAATCAAATATGCCTAGAAACCGAATTCAGAAGATTCTCAAAAATCATAGGTATCATCCTTATAAATTACATGTCAGTCAAGAACTTAGATCAGGAGAGGAGGCTTGAATTCTGCAATTGGTTTGATGGAACATTGCAACAGAATGAAGATTTTTCAAATAACATTATCTGGACTGATGAATGCAATTTTTCCACGAGCGGCCTTTTCAACAGAAACTGTCAATTTTTGTCATCGAAACATTCGGAAATCGAAATTTGTGATAGCTCATAGTTTTTGGGCTATCCAAAGGTAACGAAAAATGAAATAAAAAATCCAGGTCCGTATTTAAAAAAAGTAAGTTGATGATGGTTTCTGGAAGACGAAACGTCAGATTTCGAATTTGAAAACGTCATCTTGAAGGCAAGAATGAGTGGCTATGATGAAGTGACTTTCCTATCGATTAATTTCTTCAAATAACGCCAGAAAAAAATAAAAACGGTTTCATGAAATTTCGATTTTTTTTTTATATCTCCGGAAGTATACGGAATTTCTCGAGTTTCAGAACAGCATTTTCTTAGGCATCAAATTGCGCAACTTTGCCATAATTTAACCGACCCTGTATCTCTCACGGTTCACGAGATCCCAATGATAAGGCTCGAATTCCAGCCACCCTGTACACCTTTCCTGCCTGTCAAGTGTCATAGAGAAGCCACTTTCGAGAGGCTTCAGCCGAGGGGTATAAGGTCCCGTGGGGTTGTTATTCTTTAGTAAAAAGGTGTATATTAAATTTTTGTCACCACTAGCAATACATTCCAATCATTTTAATCTTGTGAAACTGAAATATGAACCTATTGTCACTATGGAAGCACTTCTTTTCAATTAAATTACTAATTGAAATCAAGTATCTATGATCATGACAGCATATGACAAGTCGTTATTGATAAATACCTACTAGATTCGAGAGCCATTTCTACGAATCTCGCATCAGAATAATGAATTCGGGTTAATTATAACAGATATGGCTATGTCTCTATCAAAATGACGAAAACTACCTTGGTAGTAAAAACACACTTTACGCCTCGAAAAGGTGTAAATAATGTAGGTTTAATAGCTTGTGGTGGAAAAATAATATTTTCATTCCCTCGATATACAAGGTGATATTCAAGTATGTGGCCAAACTTCAAGGTGTGATTATTCGGGTGGTTCTAAGACAAAAAGTACATGTAAACATAGGTCCAGAAATGCTTTGTTTTCATGATACAGGGAGTCAAAATTTCAATAAAAATCGTTTTTTTGTTCATTGATTACCAAGAACAAAATATCAGGAAGCTAGTTTTGATGTAACTAAACTACTCAACACTAATTTTGTCGCACACCAAAATGTCGCCCCTGTTATAATGTGAATAACTTTTTTCAGTTTAGAACAATTTGAATTTGGTTTACACTGTTCGATAGCCCAGTCCTTCAGCTATAATCTGGTACTTCATTGAAACATAAGGGTATTCACATAAAATATCTACATGGTGTTTTCCGACACTGTGCAAAATTTCGGAATATTCAAAAAGCTCTCTAATGGTGAAAAAAATGTTTTTCTCAACTTCGACAACAGAGGCATGAAGATGATTTCATTACCTCGAGATATTTTGCGAATCAACTTCCTATCTCTCTTATTTACAGAGTGATCTCAAAAAATAAACTTTTTGGTTTTGCAGCCATAACTTTTTTCTACGTCAACCGATTTTGGATATCTTAGGCTCATTTTGAAGATAAAACTTCAGATGAAGAGATATGAATATCAGAATTGACTCAAGATGGCTATCAAAGATCTAGAGTTTTCTTGAAAGTGACCCAAATCTGGAACGCCCTTCGAATCTTGGTTGGGAGGAGAATTGAATGAACATCAACTTGTTCTCGGAAAAACAATTCATTCTGGATGCGTCCATATTTTCCTCGCTCTCAGTAGTCAAGAATTGTGCGTGAGAAAACACAATTGAAACATGTTCTTGCAAAAACATTATAACATTTCTCCTCTGTAATGCATGGCCCGCCGTAACCAACGTTACAAGAATCACAATGAGTGACTGACAAACCCGACCAGCTGAGGTTCATCATAAATGATGTGCCAACAAGAGCACTGGATTTTGATTTTTTCAATAAAGTGATTTTTTTAACAGTTATCACGTACATAACATGCGATTTAAGAATATGGAGAAGTATTCAAGCAAACAACGTTTATTTATTGTAAAAACGCATTTCAAAAATGGTGAAAGTTTCACGAAAACAGTTTGCCAATTACGTAAAGTTTTCAGTCGCAATAATGCGCCGATCGAATCGACAGTAATAACCAAACAATTCGTGTCGGAGATAAGCCCTTTGAATGGATCGGACTGTCGTGTTTAGCAGATCCGCGATTTGGAGGAAAGATATCCCTTGTTCCCTCATTTGTGGAATCAGTTCTAACTGGTCGGGCGTTAGATGCGGCATCTAAACTATCAAAATCTGTTTATGATTCGAAAACGACGTCTAACCTGACTTGTCAGTCGTCAGTCACTTACTGTGATTCTTGTAACGTTGGTTACGGGCCATGCATTGCAGAGGAGAAATGGTTTGATGTTTTTGCAAGAACATGTTTCAATTGTGTTTTCTCACGCACATTCTTGAGTACTGAGAGCGAGGAGAATATGGGCGCATCCAGAACGAATTGTTTTTCCAAGAACAAGTTGATTTTTATTCAATTTTCCTCCCAACTGAGATTCGGAGGGCGTTCCAGATTTGGGTCACTTTCAAGAAAACTCTAGATCTTTGATAGCCATCTTGAGTCAATTCTGATATTCAGCTCTCTTCATCTGAAGTTTTATCTTCAAAATGAGCCTAAGATTTCCAAAATCGGTTGACGTAGAAAAAAGTTATGGCTGCAAAACCAAAAAGTTTATTTTTTGAGATCACTCTGTAAATAAGAGAGATAGGAAGTTGATTCGCGAAATATCTCGAGGTAATGAAATCATCTTCATGCCTCTATTGTCGAAGTTGAGAAAAACATTTTTTTCATCATTAGAGAGCTTTTTGAATATTCCGAAATTTTGCACAGTGTCGGAAAACACCATGTAGAGATTTTATGTGAATACCCTTATGTTTCAATGAAGTACCAGATTATAGCTGAAGGACTGGGCTATCGAACAGTGTAAACCAAATTCAAATTGTTCTAAACTGAAAGAAGTTATTCACATTATAACAGGGGCGACATTTTGGTGTGCGACGAAATTAGTGTTGAGTAGTTTAGATGCGAAGTAATGATTCCTGTGGCGTCGCAGTGGGTTACCTTCTCGATAATTATAGTTTGTTCCAAGCTCAATATTTCTATCAGATTAAACAATTGAAAATATAGCTTTCTTGTCCTCTATAAAATTTTTGTATTACTTAGTTCCTGAGGAAATAATGAAAAATTTATTTGTCACAAATCAGACTAAATATCATGAAATCCTATACAAGGTAAACATGGAAAACAACAATCAATACTTCCAACTTCAACACCCTGGTATCTTGAAAACCTATCAGGATCAATGTATATATACAGAGTGACCCATTTGAAAGCGGGCCACCCCTGTATCTCACGTAATCGTTGGGTAAGGATCATGAAATTTGCTGGAGCGAGAGATATACCAAAAATGCACTCTATGACCAAGTGGGGTCATCTTCAGTGATATAAACTGCTCGCCAACAGCCATGGAACCACCCCAATTTCCGGAAAATGATATTAGGAGTCAAAATAGGTTGAAAACCACTTCAGATTCGGAATCAGGACGCCCAATTCACTAACTCTTCATATTTTTCCTTGAAAATTTTCAGTTCTGAAAAATTAAATTTTGACGCACTTTTCACGGAAGCACCCCCGTATCTCACGTAATTGACTTCATCTTCGGACTTTCCGTTCCTCCTGCAAATTTTAGAACCCTACCACAATAATTACGTGAGATACAGGGGTGTGCTTCTATGAAAAGTGCGACAAAATGTAATGTTTCCGAACTGAAAATTTTCAAGTAAAAATATGAAAAGTTAGTGAATTGGGCGTCCTGATTCCGAATCCGAATTGATTTTCAACCTATTTTGACTCCTAATATCATTTTCAGGAAATTGGGGTGGTTCCATGGCTGTTGGCGAGCAGTGTATATCACTGAAGATGACCCCACTTGGTTATAGAGTGCATTTTTGGTATATCTCTCGCTCCAGCAGATTTCATGATCCTTACCCAACGATTACGTGAGATACAGGGGTGGCCCGCTTTCAAATGGGTCACTCTGTATATGAAGTATTTGTCTCAGAATCACCCAAATAATCGCCCCTTGAAATTTAGCCACATACTCAAATAACACCCTGTTCAATTATTATTGATTGTTTCCTTCAAATATAGGAATCACATACCCAGATGATCACTATCTTATCTCCCAAACTAAGATCATTCCCTCAGAAATCGTATTCCCGCCATGTTTGCCAGGAGAAGTCACGCACACGAATTTCAAGATTCTAAATACAGGACCACTTACGTTGACATTCAAACTGAGTCCTCCCAGTAATTCGTAAGTGTCCAATCTAGCATAAATTATTCTAGAGTACCCAGGCGCGTATAAAACTTTCAGTCTTGAAGGTAATTTCGCGTTGCTTCAGAAATTCTTATTGAACATTAGAACATTATAAGAATAAAATGCACCCCAGGCGAAAATTTTTATTTTTTCATACGCCTTTATATGATGATAGAAGAGGAATTTGTGCGCCAAACTTTTTTGGGTAATATGTTATAGTACAGGGTGTCCGCTAAAAAGAGGTCAATCCATTAACCATATATTCCTTGAACAAAAACAATATGAATTTCTAAATACCATTTTTCATTTTAGCCCTTCATATTCGATATAACACAGTTGGAAATTAAAAACTGTTTTTTTTTCAATCACTTGCGTATTTAATAAGATATTGATCTTAAAATTGGTACATTACTTCAGCACAAAGAGTTACATCGTGTGAGGAAAACAAAACAGAAAATAACTGTCAAATATTCAGAATACTGATGGGGGTCAAGTACACACTTACCCCCATATTTTTTTGTACGTGCGCTAATGACTTCCGATTTATTTTTCTGCAAGTGTTCAATCATTTTTGATTATTCGAAAAGTACTGGTTATTGTTTGATTCCTATGCGGCTCACGGTAATCTCATAATGTTCACATAATCCTATTTATTTCGTCTAAATTCGAAGAGGGCGTAACTTATTACGTACAAAAAGGTACATATGGAAATACCGGGTGCTCAGAGCGAATGTATTAAAATAATTTTTCAAAAAAAATTGATAGAAATTCAACACGTCTAAATAAATTGCCTCCAATTTTTTTAATACTCCATGCGAGCCCTTTTAATTAAAGAAAATCTCAGCCTTTGAAAAATATGTGACTTATAGACAAAATCTTTCATACATCCCCAGACAATCCTGGTCTGCTATTTCTTCCATCAAGTAGCTATTAAAATCATGGATATTCTAATTTCACCTAAAATTTCCGAAAATATTTTTTTTTAATTTTTTTCCGATTTTGTTTCCCGTTCGTTCGCGCCCGACATACCGTAATTATAAGAAGTCAGCAGCTTCACCCATTCTACATTCAAAAAGTGCAAGGTCTTTTGCCTCAAGACTTTGAAGCCAGACTTTTATTCTGTAGATGGTTATGTGACATGAATAACAAAGATGTACGTTCCATCAATAATATTTTATTTACTGATGAAGCTACATTTACGAGAAACGGGATAACAAATATTCACAACACACACCAATGGGTCATATCGAGCAATTTATTTAGACGTGTTGAATTTCTATCAATTTTTTGTTGTAAAAATTATTTCAATACATTCGCTCTGAGCACCCGATATTTCCATATTTACCTTTTCGTACGTAAAAACATAGGCCCTCTTCCAATTTCGACGAAATAAATGAGAGTATGTGAATATTAAGAGATTACCGTAAGCAGCATAGGCATGAAACAATAACCAGTACTTTTCGAATTATCTTAAAAACAAATAATTTCATCGAAATTTTACAAGAGATAAAGATAAAGAAGAATAGATCGGAAGTCATTAGCGCACGTACAAAAAAAATATGGGGGTAAGTGTGTACTTGACCCCCAGTATTTTGAATATTTGACAGTTATTTTCTGTTTTGTTTCCCTCACACGATGTAACTCTTTGTGCTGAAGTGATGTACCAATTTTGAGATTAATATCTTATTTCCAACTTTGACACCCTGTATATCGATTATGAGGGGCTAAAATGAAAAATGGTATTTAGAAACTCATATTGTTTTTGTTCAAGGAATATATGATTAATGGATTGACTTCCTTTTAGCGGGAACGGCGAAATAGCGCAGTGGTTGAAGCGCTCGACTAGTAACCAGAACAGTTAGTAACAAAGTCTACACAAATGGGCTGAACGACCTCTCGTAAGGTCGATGGCCAGTTGAAATGTACATACATATCAACGAAGTACATATTACTACAACATTTTTGTAATATTAGGTACTAAAATAAACATGAAATAAATCAATTTGCTTTTGAAAAACATAAGGTCTAACTCAACTAACTTCGAAAATCGATAAAAAATTTGAAATATTACATACTTAAGTGTTTTTTGATCAGTCGTAACTGGTTTTCTATTTACGGCTGTTGAATTTCTATTGGCTTAAATTGCTGAATTTCAATCCTTATCTATTTTGACACAAAAGATATCGCTTCAAAATCCGGTAAGCAAGTTACTATCGATGGTATATAAATATCTTATTGATATTATTGTTATATTCGTCGAAGCTATACTGGATGTTATTTATTTCTATTCGTCAAATGCTGAATCCTTCTCGATCATTAATTGGGCGTCACTTGTGAATTGATGAACTGCTGAATCATCACCATTTCCAACCTCATTTCCATTGGACCTTTTGATATTAATATGTATATCTGTTTGTTATATTTTGTTTCAAGAATATCTCACCATTCGGTCTTTGCTGATTAGAAGGTACCTACTAAACTGACTGAAGCTACATATATATAGTACCTATCGGTATACGCGTACCAACCAAAATTGTTCTTGAGTTTTTACAATAAATACTAGAGTGAGTTGCCGCCTAAGAACAAACTGGTGATTTGTGCCAGGGTATACCAGTCCTGTATACCTACAGGATGCTTCGTGGTGACTCAATATTTCTAAATTTTGACCACTATTCCGGCGAAACCAAAAGTTAGATCTATAAATTAATATCATAGAGAAATTCGTATACTGTTTCCCTTCTCGTATCATAAGACTCATCTGACGTTATCGCGTATATTGAAATAAATACCAAAATACTCAACTTTTTTTTTAGGAACATCATTATGAAACCGATGATGGGACTTATAAAACAATCAGTCATTATCGTAGCACAACTCAGGACCCCGAGAAAACTGCCGAGAAAATGTTCTGAAGGATGGCACGTCATGTTGAACAACCAAGAATCGAAAAAGATTCCGTTTACTTTAAGCGGAATTTCTACACTCCCTTCTGTCGAATTGGGGAAAAACAACTGCATTAAGTTTGATACAGTACAGCCTGGAACGCATACAATTCAAACATTTCCTCTCCGGAATACATCTCACTTCCATATTAGGTATGAATCACCAACATAAACTACAACCACTATCTATACAGAGTATAAGAATAAATTATATAAGTACATTGAGTGCAGAAACACTCCACCAGTGACTGCAAATGCAATTCGATATTACTCATGTCACATAAAGTCGATGATGCGATATTCGAATGACAGTTTGTTGTCCTGTAATATTAACATCTCATTTTATCATTATACCTGTTGATCGATGTACGAGTGCGGAAGAGTATAAATCTGCTACCTGAGATATGCCTGGAAAGCTTTGGAGCAATCCGAAGTATATCCATGAATTTATTCAAACTGGAGTCTGTGATGAGATGCCACTGAAGATTCTCAGGATTCCGTGCCAGTGCGAATATTTTCAACCACGTGCGAGTATGCAATAATAGCGGGTTGAAGACGTTTTACCGATTGATTCGAGTTGAAAATAGTGTCGGTATGGCAGCCTTCACTACGTAATAATATGGAATATTGTGATATTATCAAACTGACTCGAGTTGCAGTACACGAAAAGTTGTAGGCGTGTATTCGTGAATACTTTCCCGACAGGCACCGACCGAATTCAAACGGTCCGGCAGCCCACAACAGGTTTTTTTGCTGGAGCTGCTCCAATTGACGTTGGACTATACTGAGATAGACAGGTTAAAGACTTACAGTAAAAAGTATTTTGATTATTGTTCTTCTCTTAATAAATTTGCTTCAATTTAAAATGATTTGAACTCCATTTGGAGGGGACATACTTAGATATAGATCACCCTGTATTGTAGAGACTTCAAATAGTTTTGTAGGGTTCTCGGTGGCGTGGTGACTTCCTCATAATGTTTGGGTGAAGTGCTTTTATTCATAGTAGGACTATTTCACTTCAGTGGGTTGTTGGTTAGTTAGTGTTTGGCACCAAGGACTCCTTCACAAACTACCATCATACGGCTTCCAACCTCAGCTATGTAATCCCTTATCGAGTTTCCTGTCAGGCATCAGATCGCTCCACGTGGTGGTGGACGTGGTGATATACTAATACTGATAATGATAATACGCGTCTGATACCATTGCCATCGATTCCTGCGTTCCACAAGGATCAATTTTGGCACCAACATTATTCCTACTGCATAAATCAATGATCTGTTGGGAGTAACTACTTTCCCTATCCATAGCTTTGCAGAACCCTGTATTGCACCAAGGACTCCTTCACAAACATTCATTATACGGCTTACCACCTAAGCTACGCAATCTCTTATCAAGTTTTCTTTCAGGCATCAGATCGCTCCAGGTGGTGATGCATGGACGCGGTGTATCGTTTGATACCATTGCCACCGATTTCGGCGTTCCACAAGGATCAATTTTGGCACCAACATTATTCCTACTCGATATATAAATGATCTGTTGGGAGTAACTACTTGCCCTATCCACAGCTTTGCAGATGATAGTACTCCATACTGCGTTATCTTCCAGAATTCTCATTTCTTCCCGAGAAACTAAGTACTCACCGCGAATTCAGGCTGTCAATGAAGATCTTCTTGAAACCACAGCCTGGGGAACCAACAATCTAGTTGAATTCAACGCCACCAAAACTCAACCCCGTATTTTCTCTAGAAAGGCGGAACTCAGTATACCTGATATAACAATGTCTTGTACCACCATTCCCACCAAGTCCACAATATCCATGCTCGGTATTTCCATCAGCAATTCTCTCTCATCTGATAATCATGTCAGATCCATCGCAAAAGCTGCTTCACAAAAACTCGGATTTTTTTTTCGTGCGAGAAGCTATACTTCATGCCTCACAATCTACAATATACATATACTGCCTAGACTACTGTTTCTACATATGGGGTTCAGCACCCAAACATACGCTGATGCTCTTGGATTCCATCCAGAGAAGAGCCATTCACCTGCTGGGTGATGCCAGACTGACTAACTCTTTGATATCATTGGAACACCGTAGAAAAGTCGGCAACCTCTCTCACTTTCTTATACACTAGCAATACCAGCCAGACCAACTCGACAAGCCAAGCACATCCATTCGTTATCAACTTCGAAATATTTTGAACAGCCCTTTATCAGAGCTCGTTTGTCTATAGAGGATGTCTTTGGAAGTTCTGCACATATCTGAGGTCAAAATAAGCCGATTTAAAGCAACTTATCTCAGTCCGAAGTTGCTTCGTTTCCAAGATACAGTGTTGTATGTTGAATAAAAATCGAATACCTATCAGAATTCGATGTTATTTGAGATGCGGGCACCGTTTCATTGTGACCATCAGAGGGCGCTAACCAATACACTTCTTATGGTTGAGAATGGCCATAACTTTTTCCTCCTCAGTGTAGTTTCGTTGAAAAAAATGTCTGGCCAGAATTTGAATTTCAAATTTGCGCAACCGCCAATTCGACCATATTCAATGAAATTCAAACGGCACAAAAGCCAGTTACCCATAAGCCTTCAATGGGGTGAGGTGTTTCGCTTGTGAGATCACAGTAAGTAATATTTGATTAATATGAAAGTTGGTAACATTACTTTGTTCAACTATCTGCATGAACTTCTAGTTCAAATGACATTTCAATCACCCGAAATAGTAGTTTTGAGGAAAAAATATGTGGCGTTTATGCCAAAACACTAACATGAAAACTTTTTTGGCATAAACGTCATGGCTTATGGGAAATAGCATATTTAGATTCAATAATTCAAAGTTTTTTCATATTGTAATGATATTTCCTTTGGAGGGGCTTTAGAAACATCAGCAGGAAGGCAGGAGTACAACGATCATCCTGTATCACGCATCCCAGATTGCTCTCCAACCTCTCAATGATTCCTACATACACCAGCATATTTCCGAACACTCAATATATGCCGCAGTGACAAAGAACGTCACAGAAGATTCTGGAATGTTCTGGAAACAATCGATGGAACAATTAGAGAGAGAGGTTTTGTTCTAAGAAGCTTCTAGAACAAAAAGAAGGAGACGGAAGATCATTCGAGAAGGTTCTCGAGCCAAAGCCTGCCATGTGTTCTCATATATAAGACGGCCGAACAACTGAGTCAGTCAGTCGAGCAGCGAGTGTCAGAAAGACAGTTATATATACCGCGTGATATAAATCGTTCTACATAAATAGTAGTTTTAAGTTCGTTATAAATTAGTGTTTCTATAGTTCAAATAAATCAGTTCGAATAAATAGTGTCGTGTTCGCTTCTGCACCCGAATAACGTAACAATATGTTATTCTGTGAACCTATCATTGATATTAGGTACCCATTAAGTTTCACAGTCTTCAAAATTTTCAATACTTTCAGTTTCAAAAAATGAAATTTTCAATGATGATAGCGTTTTCAAGATGGAAATTTTTCGTACCTAATGATTGAATATTTTGTACCACCATGGTGGCATAAATGACACACAGTGACACACACGACAAATTAATCATCAATTTCAATTTGGCATATCAACTGTATAAGCGCCAATTCGACCAATTCCTTGAATGTTCAATGACACAAACGCCAATGTCACTTTCGGCATAAACACATTCTACTTGTGTGGAGTGACACAAGCGCCATTTTTCAATTTTTAATTTATTGCATGAATGGGAGAATCAGTCTTCATCAGACATACAACAAAATTAATGAAACAAATTAATCTTTCATTCAAGACATCAAGCAGATTTTTGTGGCAATTACGAAAGAAGTTGATCAGTTTTTTGTCTCGCCTGTAAAGTTGACTCGATGGCATTTGTGCCGTTTTGGCATGGACGCGTCGACATGAGATGGATAATGGAAACGTTGACATTCAGAGTAGGGAACTAATAAACAGATTATTTTTCAGTTTCAGTATTATGTCTCCGGATGACGTTGACCTAAAGTTTCAACCCACGGAGGGTGACATAGCACCTCATGACACAATTTTCGTCACATTCCATCACACAGCCAGCTTATGTTCTCCAAAGAAGATCGTGCTCATCTGCAAAATACAAGCAATGCAGAAAATGCTTCAATCAATCGGGGAAGTGTATGAAGAAGAATTCATCATACATGCTGATGCTGCTTATTCACAATTGTGTGTATGTTGCATTAATATTACAATATTTATCTTTACCTACGACTACTATATAGAAAATAGGCAAGAACACATTTTATACAGCCTCAGTAAGTAGCTCATTTCGTAAGGAAAACGCACAGTTAGAATATGCTATTTCAATTAATAATAATACAACCCCAACAAATGACGATATTTGAATGTCATATGATTGGACACATCTAGATACTTTTTAATATATTTATGATTTATACTGTATGTCTGAAAAAGTTGGCAATACATTTCTATCATCAATTTTGGGAAAAAAGGTATTCTTCATAAAAAGTTCTGCAATGCCTAAATTCTAAATTGCAAATATTAGATATCAATTATTTCAGTCGTATACGAGCTATATAAAAAAATATTGATTTTGCTTGGTGAAGTAAATACTTTTTTTTCGACAATATCCGAAATTATCATTGAGTAAAATTGACCAAAATTGGAAACTACGTTCTACATCTATCTACGATGGAAATCAGATTTTTTTTATTTACTTTTTGCACAATTCATATTTTTTTGTATACCTCGTATACGACTGAGAAAATGTAATGTCTTATATTCTCGGTTTTAGGACTTGCAGAACATTTTATGAAGGATTACTCAACAAGTTTTTCATATGAAAGCTCATTTTTATCGTAGATAAATGTAATTAGATATTTGAACGTCGCTTTCAATAATTCTAGTCTACTTTTATTTATAACAATTTTATTATTAAACGTTGTTCGTTCCAATACTTTTCCATATTCTCAAATGACGTGGTCTCTACGTGGCTGCCAAACTGTCAGAAAAATCACTGTATAACCCTTTAATAATATAATAACTATCAGTCTCGCTTTACTTTTAGTTATTATTTTTATAACTTAATAATGTATAAACTAATTAAAGATTTGTCAAGGTATAGCAACGAACATAATGAAGAAGTACAAAATGAAATGTCATTAACTAAATGAATTAATGAATGATTAGGTCCGGAACATGCCCCTTTGAATAATTGTTACGTCATTAAAAGTGTGAAGCTATTCTTCTTCCCTTTGAATGAAAAATATGGTCTAGCTATAGTGATATTGATAATTTTTTTTTGTTTACAGGCAACACCAAATAATCACGATTTCGAGCTTGTCCAGTGGGGTAAAACAATTGGCTCCGAATTCAGTATTTTCAATTTCGGCATTACGACTATCCATTTCCATATGGACACCTGTAAACGATCACACAACAAGGATATTTTCAAAGTTAGTCCTGAAAGCGGCTCACTAGATCCTGGCGAACGGATGACGATTCGATTCGAAGGCTGTACGAGAACTTTGGGAGAAAACGATATCAGTATTGTTTACGTGAACAGAATCAGTAAAAATTCGCAGGAAACAACAGGAAAAGAATCCAAAGAACTGTTTCGATTTTCATATTGTTGTGCATTTCCAAAGCTTCAGGTATCTATCTACCCGTTACCACCGATACAACAAGGCCTGCATGCTCCGTGGGTGGCTTATAGCGTTATAAGGCGACCGCGTATTTCGATTTTAGTTTTAGATCATCATTGAGCCGATTCGAAGTTTTAAAGCAAAAACCAGGATAAAACACAAATATCCACCTACAGCAACCCATTCGAATTAAATATATTGGCAAAAATTGTGGTGAAGGTAAACTTCACACCTACTTATACAGGGCCCGCAGAACATAAACTTATCGTGAGATTGATCGAAAGAAAATTGTGGAAAATGTATTTTTTCTCCGATTGGCAGCATATATTAATTTTGCTGACACATATCAATCAGCAAAGTATTACTTTTCCTGCCTAGGCAGCAAAGTGGGTACTTTGCTGCCTAGGCAGCAAAATGGTTACTTTGCTGATTGATATGTGTCAGCAAAATTAATAATCAATAATTCCTTTATAATTTCCTTCATATTCCATCCGAGACTTCTCCGGCAACAAATTCAACTCTATATTTTTTGCCACCTCCCTTATTTCTGGAGGAGGAAGTACTTCCAGATCGCTATCACTGTCCATTATGTAATAATTTATATATACCGATATTTTTTGCACGACTGTCAGAAATTTCATGAATTGTCAAACTATATAATTATTATGGACATTTCCATAGCAACCAACCATTCCAACAACTGAGATTTCTATCAAATTCTATTCTAATTACAGGAAAAATAAAGAGATTGTGGGAATTGTGATAATTTGCAAATACAATATCCTATATCATTATGAACAATCGGAGAAAAAATTATATGTTCAACTCGGCAGCAAAGTAGATTGACTGCCTTAGCTGAATTCCTAGCCTCACTACGCTCGGCTATGAATTCAGCCTCGGCAGTCAATCTACTACTTTGCTGCCTAGTTAAACAAATAACTATTATTTTGATTGACATGCCGTTTGTTACAATTACCTATATTCATCTTGGAGAATTCCTATTACCTGAAAAAATAACCAGTGAGTGTTTTCAATTTTCTGCTGTTGGATTTTTCACCCAAGTGGATCGTTACACTTGAAACCGTAATTTTTAAGGGTAAAACTGCATTTATCATGCGATGGTTTTTATTTTGAAAATTTTTTTTCGGTACTCACGTATTTTTGTCTGATAAACCGAATTTTATAATGAAAATGTGAACAAACCACTATTTATTGAGATATTTCAAGAAAAAGTTCGAAATATCGCCTTCTTTCTCCCCTTGTGTTGGGGGCATTTGAAGCTACTTGCTCTTATTTTGTCATTGGACACTTTATATACTCATGATGTACTTCGATGGCACATTTTTATATAGAAAATTCAACAGGAAATATGATTTTTATGGCGAGTTTTTCATATTTAGTGAACAAGCATTCCAGATGACGACCATTTAATCAATAGTCAATCAAAATACGAGATGTCAAATGTCAATATAGATTGCTTTCGAATGACATTACACACGCCATTATTTTGAATGATATTCTTCCTTTTTTCACTAAATATGGATTTATCTCAAGAAAATCATATTTATAGTTGAATTTTATATAAATTGTCCAATATGATGAAGAAAGAAGGGAAATTTATTCTAAATGCCATCCAGAAGACAGGTGAAAAAGAAGGTGAAATTTGGAACTTTTTAGTCAAATATCTTCATGATAAATATCATGATAAATGCAGTTTCACCTTTTTAAGTAGAGTGTTTGTAGTTCATGTTAATATGATAGTTGCATGCTTTTGGGTGTATGATAAATTGACATTCATCATACAGGGCGTGGAAATGAATTCTGAATTGAGACTCTATCACGAATCTGCGATTAGAGGTCTATAAAAATCACAAGTTTCCATCGTTCAAGTTTGAACCCCCTGATTGGGTATGAAAGTGTTGAAAAGGAATATTCTCAGATAAATTATGAACATACAAAAAAGGATATATATTGATATAAAGCAATACATTGAGAATTCGCATTCTCTATGTGATGAGAATATTTACTCTTTTTTAGTTAATTCAATAGAAAACAACTACTTTCCTGGCTATATGCCACGACGAACATTGAATTATATCTATTGAACACACACGATAAGAGTTTGAAAATAAAATATAAAAATTGGAAACTTGTGATTTTTATAGACCTCTAATCGCAGATTCGTGATAGAGTCTCAATTCAGAATTCATTTCCACGCCCTGTATGATGAATGTCAATTTATCATACACCCAAAAGCAAAAACGTATAGTTTTACTCGATTTTAGTTGTATTATATAGAGATGAAAATTGTGTATATCATGAAGAATGGCTGTAAGAATAAGTGGACATCATGGTTACTGATGAGGATTCAGAGATCCGAAATGGGTTCATTGCAATAAAGTCATATAACCTGTGTGTGAGAGATAATATTTCCCATATCACTGATATGAATGATTATTTTTGGACGTTTTCAAGCTCATCAAGATCAGAGTTCATGCCAGTATACTTCTCCTATACATTCCAATTTTCATTTCAATGCTGAATATATTGGTAAGTCATATTTCTAGATCATTATTCATCATATTATTCATCCGATTTGAAGAAGAATGTCAATTCTCAATTTCGGAGGTTTTTATTCTTTATTTTTCATGTTCCCTTTTGAATGTTCATCAGATATAATGCAATGTTCGACGTGGCAAATAGCCAGGAAAGTAGTTGTTTTCTGTTGAATATTCATAATGATATGTGTATATACATATTTTTGTCTGAAGGAGAATGCAAATTCTCAATTTCAGAAATTTTTATATTTTATTTTCAAACTCTTATCGTGTGTGTTCAATAGATATAATTCAATGTTCGTCGTGGCATATAGCCAGGAAAGTAGTTGTTTTCTATTGAATTAACTAAAAAAGAGTAAATATTCTCATCACATAGAGAATGCGAATTCTCAATGTATTGCTTTATATCAATATATATCCTTTTTTGTATGTTCATAATTTATCTGAGAATATTCCTTTTCAACACTATGATAGTTGCAATTTGATCATTGGAATGAATTCTGCATTCATTGCCACGAGGCAAATGACCGTTTTCAGTAAAAAATTTGAGAATGAGAATTAAAAATGCCCGTTTATTATGAACATTCAAGAAGATTTCCTCGAATTCAGAGATGATTTTATTGACTATAATATACGAATACAAAACTAATTGCACAATCAAAGCTTTTCTATTTTTCCTCTACTTATACTTTTTATGAGAGAGTAATTGTCTTCTATTATTAATTCATCATTATAAATTGAGCTCTGTTTACTACTGAACTCAGATACTTAGATGGAGTAAAATCCTCGCGGTGAATTGCATATACCCACATTTTCGATAGCTCCTCGTCCAAGCATGAACTTTTGAACCACCCACATAATTCCCCCGACAAAAGGGAACACAACACTTGAAAGGCATTGTTATTTCGCCGATCACAACACAAAATATTTCACAAAACAGTAATTTTTCCGCCAATTATTTTGATGAATAAACAACAAAAGAATTCGGGACCGTTTCAAAAACATACGTGAATCACCGATGAATTAACACGAACTGACGCGTTAGTCGACAAGCGATAAAATAAAACACTGGCCTCTCTTGGCGACGTCACGATCTGTTTACGTCAGAGTCTGCTGGCCTTGTTGTATCGGTGGTAACGATCTACCCTCTACCCACCCATAGAAGACTCAGATAAATACTGGTTGTTTATCTATAGAAATATTTCACCTAGGGACAAAGCCAAATAGTTAAAACTCGATAAGAATTCTGTCAGGTTGAGCCTGGCTATCGGTTGAGCATTTCACAAAAAAATCAAGGTTTGCGGCTATAATTCTGGCAAAATTTTGGCACCCTAGTATATGTAGCTCAACATCTAGTAGAAGCTGTAATTCCCGCTCTTCCCTACAGTGGCGTAACTATCATATGGCAGATTTTCGAATTGAAAAATATGTATACCGGGTGGCTACGGAAGTATTGCCTACATAATATCTCAGTTATTGTATGAAGTAGGTTTGTGAAATTTGGAGCGTCGATATAATGACATAAGAGCTAGAATTTGAGCATATTGACATGTCGAAGTTGACTTCCGGTCTGACCGGAAGTAACTCAACTTTCTTATTTTGAATGGAAACCCTATTTTTTTTTCTTTTCGCTTTATTCAGCATTCAATTCCCTTTCTAATGACATATCACAAGTTGGTATCTAACCAGAAACTGGATCAGAAAAAAAATGTTTTGAGATTCACCAAGTAGGCCGTGGAAGCAAAATGAAAGCCAAAAAATGACTTTCTATCATATCATTAGAAAGGAATGGTTATGCTGAATAGTACAGGCAAGAAAAAGTTGTATGTTCCTATTCAAGTTATGGACCTACAGAGTATTGTTTTTTTCCCAATTTTTCCAATATTTTTTTGGCGGCTTTTTATAACGCCGACGAATGAAAATGAAATATCACAGTAGTAGCAACTGTTATCAAGTGACGTATGGTTTCCATAGCCAACTTTTCAATTTTTAGCTTTCATTTTTCTTCCACGGCCTACTCGGTGAATTTCAATAATAATTTTTTTCTGATCTAGTTTCTGGTTAGATACCAACTTGTGATATGTCATTAAAAAGGGAATTGAATGCTGAATAAAGCGAAAAGAAAAAAAATTGGGTTTCCATTTAAAATAAGAAGAGATATTCCGTAGGCAATACTTCCGTAGCCACCCGGTATGTACATCGATAACTGGAACCTTTGGCACGATAATCACACAAACCTGTTGCACCCTCCTGTGCCCCGGAACCCATACTAGTTCGACTTCCTTCTGTTCAGCTAGTTTCTCCTTCCTAATATAACTAACCAATATTTTGTATGAACTGGTAAGGTATATCTCATACTGCTTCTTCTATGCATCGAAATACAAATAGATTCAATCATGGTTATGACCGAAACGAACCTATACAGGGTGTTCCTTAATGATATGCTAATATTCAAGGGGCCGATTCTTCGACCCATTTCAAGAATAAAACTTCTTATGAACATATGTCGTAAACGTCCTTACTTTTGAGATACAGGGTGTCAATGTTGAAAATATGCATAGATTATTTTTTTGTCCACCCTGTATAGCTTTTCGTGATGTTCTGAATGGAGTACTCAAACATCAAAATTTGAAGTCCGGTCTCGTTTTTCCGTTTTTTCTCGAAAACGAATCGTTCTATCGAGTATCAACAATGGGATATTTTTTTGTATATATTTAAATAGCCTTTCATAGCATTGTATGAAATTTGAAAATTTTTCGTCGTTGCTCACTTTTGTGAAATTCAAACAATAATTTTACCGTAACGGTGCCACTGGTAGGGAAAATGAAAATTTTTGTACATCATAAAATGCACCCTGAGGTATAAAAGACGTGTACCAAATTTCAAAAAGATGTATACAATATTGTCTTAGTTATCATCAAAATACTGAATATTTTTCAAAACTTCATCACCCTGTATCTCAAAAGTTAAGACTTTTAGGACATACGTTCATATAAAGTGTCCTTCTTACTTGATAATATGTGCACATATTCAAATATCACAGATTTTTCTTATATTACTTATGACTTGTCAGAATTATTGTAACGAAAAAGATTACACATACGTCAATAATATATTTTTCCTGCAAAAAATCTAGAAATGAAGATAAAGCTCCGACACTGTAGTAGTGTATTAGTAGGTGGTCAACAGCAATTATTTCATGTTCAGTGTGTGAATTTCTCTCACACTCCCGAGAGTAAGTGGAAAAGTATGGCCGAAATCTTTCTAGCTCGTGTGACTCAGAGTGAACTCAGAAAATTCCTGATTTTTTCTAAAATTTTTGCAAAAAAGCAAAGGCATAGGCATATATTTCATTTTCAACATCTCATCAGTGAACGGGCTACCGCAACTTTCCAGTCAGCAAGTTCGTGGTGATTTCAGATAATCAATGACAGGCGACAGCCTGTGGTCAAATGTAATCATATCGTTTGTCATTTGATGGAATAGAAGCTTCTTTATTAGCAGAACGGTTGGTCTATTGGCATTTTCATTCACCCACTCAACAAATATTCCTCTGGCTCTTTTCCCTATTCATGTGCTTCAACTACCACCGATCATCTGTATCGAAATCGATTTCCAGATCTGATCATGTCTGATCCAACAAATCGAAAATTTTATCTAGATCATTTTGAAATTCAAAATTCTTGAAATGTTGGACAGTTTTGAAACACTGAAATGTTTAAATGAAAATCAATAATAATTATTATTGATCCGTAGCGGTACGCTCCCGGAATCTAATCTCGAATTTTTTTTTGAAACAGCCACTGTGAACCACATATATAGTTGATGTTTTTGATTCACTTATCTTCGGGGAACTATTTTCAGTCGAAAACAATTGCACCATTATTTTGTTTACGCCGCCAGACAATAAAATGAGCAGCATATGCGGTTTCTTCCGTGCAAATGGAACACGCCCATACTGTCTGGTTCTCAACCCAGCAAAATTATATATTGATCCTTATAAAACACTTAGGCTCGTACAATTGTAAGGTTGCAGCGTAAGGGACAGTGATATTTACCCAGGAAATTTGAAATCATTGCGTTTATCTTATTGTTACCCTAAGAAAGCTTCTACGTATAAGTACTATCGGATGGCACCAATGAGAAATAATTAAAGTTATGAATTGACTCGGCCGTTACTTGATGAAAATCCATGGCAAATGTAAAAACTTCACAAACGATAAGATTTACACAAAATTCCTAAATACACAACATGTTTCGCTAACACAGTAGCTCGTCGTCAGGTAATATACTGGTACAATGAACTAAACCAACCTTGTCTTGCTTAACTTTTAAATATCCTACTTTCGCCATTTGAAGAATTAGTTAACTGTGGACAGGTACGATAAACCTTCATTTTCGGAAATTAGGCACAATATCTACATTAAAATACGGTATACCGGATTAACTTGAAAGAGTTGATAGCAATATATATATTTTTAATTAATTATCAACATTTTCGGAAATTAGGCACAATATATACATTAAAATAGGGTGTACCGGATTAACTTGAAAGGGTAGATAGCAAATACATATTATTGATTAATAATTAATTAATAATATGTATTGCTATCAACCCCTTCAAGTCAATCCGGTACACCATAATTTAATGTAGATATTGTGTCAAATTTCCGAAAATGAATGTTCATCGAACCTGTCCACAGGTTACTCTAATCCTTCTAGTTGGGAAAGTAGGATATATATAAAATTTAAGCAAGCCAAGGTTGGTTTATTTCATTGTACCAGTATATCACTTGAAGAAGCTACTGTGTAAGCGAAACATGTTGTGTGTTTGATAATTTTGTGGAAATCTTATCGTTTGTGAAGATTTTACATTTAAGAAATCAAAGGACTTCAAAATAACATTTGGGGGCAAGACACCTTTTTCTGCACTTTTTTAATGATGGAAAAATTTATTTTAGTCAACAATTGATAACACGCGGAGAATTCAAAATTATGCAGGCATTCAAATTTTTAACACTTCATTTTGAACTAACCATAGCGCTGGACGCCTTGGCATGATGGAGATTCAACTGCAGAACCCTGATCCTACGGTCCAGTTCTGTGAACTGAATCCTTCTTCCGCCTTCTTTGAGGCATCTCCCTCCTCCATGAGTGTTGCGCTCTCATGTGCTATTTGCCTCTTGAGAGGGCTACTCCCACTTTGGGAGGGCTCTGCCTCGTCCTCTTCTTGTGCCTCTTGGGCCTCCGGAATTGGCTCGGCGTCTTCTTCTTGTTCCTTGACATGTTTCCCCTCCTGTCTGAATTTAATTCTCTCTAGATTGAAGTAGGGAGACATGTCAAGTTTCACTAGTTCTTCCAGTGACTGTTTGTCCATGGAGAAGACCCAAGTTTGACCTTTGGCCGCAGGAGTTTTGCCCCAAACCGTCCAAAGGTGCGTGTTTAGCCCATGATTTGCGACTTTGAGCCGGTGCAGAATTTTTTCCGCCTCTGGCTTTTGCCCTCTTTCATCAGGGATGAAGGTAGTGCAGGCGTAGGTTTTAGGTAAGTCATCCCCCTCCAACACTGTCAGGGTAGCTCCCTCCCAGGGTTTTATGGTTGGGATGACCTCCTTCAACCAGTCTGCACTATTGCGATCCACGCACATCATAACCAAGTATCCCGGTTTATGAGTGCATTTTGCGAATCGCACTTGAGGTCCCTCTACGGGAATTTGATCCAGAGCCTCGGAGATAGAGTCCTGGACTTCTGAGAGCCTTTTAGTAATCATTTTCACCTCCGGGAAGCCCGTGTGTACCACAGCAACCCTAACTGAGGTAAGGGCATCTTTGAAGGATACTCCTTCGTGCCTTGGTTTCTTCCTCAGCTGGCTGGTCTGTGGCGGTGTTGCACTGGTTGACCGTGGTCGTTTCGTCGCTCTCGTGCCTTCACCGGCCTCCCTAGACGTTGTTGCTACAGGTCCCAGCCTCAAGGGCTTTGCGGGTTCCTTGCTTTTTAAAAAGTTCTCCTTGATTACCAGCCTTTTGGCTGAAATGTAATCAAGGCCCTTTTCTAGGTGGGCTTTAAGCCTCAACCTCGAAGCTCCTCCGAGGTGTGCTATTTTCACCTCATCGTCTGATAGTAGCTCTAGTTCCTCAAGGGAAGATACTATTACCTTGTTTTTGACTTTTGGTGCTTGCCCTTTTGTGGCCTTAGCACCAGGCGTGCCCGCCTTCTGTCTTGGGTTGGGTGTGGTCACCTCCGCCCTTTTGACAGGTTTTTTATTTTTGTTTTTTGAATTCATTCAGATCCCACGAGTAGCTAGGGAAGTTTTGGTCCGCTACGACAGAGTCCCGCATGCCGTAGTAAGGTCTTTATACTCTGGGATTCGACCTTGTGTCCCAGAGGCTCCGTTCTTGATAGCACTCCCTGCTACCATCCAGTCCTCGGCACGGAATTCTCACACCTTGACTTGGGGGATTGTTTCGACTTACCTTATCTAGATCCGCTGTGTTTAGTTCAAGTAGGGTCACCTCGGGCAGGATGCGATTCTACATCGCGCACAGACGGTCTTGGGAATAGCTTCCTCGAGAGGTTTGCCCGACCTCCTCTGCTATTCCCCTGGAGTCGGTGGCCATGTAGCCGACCCCTTAACCCCTATGTGTCACGTTTATAATGACTTTTATTTATGGTATGACGAACATTCACTAATTTTCTGAAATTTTCAAATATCACTTATGCAGTCAAATATTCTATATAAGTTATTCCTGTTTGGTTCCTTATCTTTCCAGATAGCTACTTGTGATCCAACGGTCAATAGTTGTGAAAATTAAAAGTTAAGTGGCGCCTAAATTTTTTTGATAATTGAGTTATGCAATCTTTTCTATTCAACGAACCCATAGTGTTTCTCTGACCAACAGCTGTCGTTTGCATGTAACCAATTTTGTCTGCTTCAAGAAATCATCATTTTTAAAATTGTAAGGTTACAAATTTAAGTGAAAGTTATTAATATTTGCCGAGAAAAAAATATTTTGGACGATTTTCAATTTCGAAGTCACGTGGAATTTTCGTGAATAAATATTGATTACAGTCCAACATCCGAACCCACACGTTTGCTTCTGAAAACGTTGAAAACGCTGAAAGTATCAATTACGTCTGCCATGTTGGTCCAAAAAATATGTTTAAATTTTTCTGTTTCCTTATGTCTCATAAAACACCCGAATATACCTAGTATACTCAATTCTAGTTTACGAAATTTTTAGATTGTGGAAATTGTAGAAGACGACTTTGGACCATTATTTGGTAAAAAACACTTATGGACATTTTTCAACATCAAAAGGTGACATCAGAAAGGAAACTTTGAACAAAAAACTTAGATTTGTTTTCAGACTGAATTACCTCTTGCAGAATATCAAGTCTCAAAAAACAGAAACTGTAGAGATGTATCTACCAGATTTTGAAATTGGATCAGGTCCGTTTTGTATAACATTCTTGATGGAGAATAAAACACTTTTTGATGCAGAAATCAAACTCAAGAGGAAAAAAGTGTGTGACTGTCAAATGAAATCAGTTCAAAGTACTTTCAATTCCAGTAAGAAAATATTTGACTGTCCACATAGAGAAATGCTCTCAATAGAAATGAATGACACAACATTTCAGGTCAGTATCTCATTTACCCACTCAAGTCACTTGTTGGTAACCTTCTATACATTCTATTACTTCCGTCTTCTTAACTCACACAAGTCTCTGACTTTCGAGGGTTGCTTTGCAACTAAGCTGGCGGTTAAAAACACTTTTAAACTTTTTTAAACACTTTATTCTCATTTGAATACTTGGAATGATTTTATCCTAATTATTATGTTATATTGACATAATGTTTTTTTTTATTGTTATATATATATATATATAGTGAAAGGGTAGTCTCCTGACTGGACTAGTTGAAGAAAACTATGTGTTAGGAAAACAGCTAGGGAATGGCCAATGTAGAGAAAATTTTGAAATTCAATTTTTTTTCTGCAACCGACACAAAAGTCTTCCATTTTAATACCAAAATCATCTCTTGAATTGACGTTTATATTACTGACATAAAAATAGGTATGTTGCTAGGCACCATGCACATTTAGTTCCTAGGAACTAAAAAGGATGTACTAGAGGTCATCAAGAATAAACAACATTATTGCGGTTGGTTATTTAGGTTGGGACGCATACCTGATTTGTTTCCGATTTCGGCAGATTTTGCATTTTATACCCATGCTGAAGATATAAATATACGTTATTAGGGAAGCCTTCAAGATTCATATACTTGCTTGATCTGTATTTCATTCGTTATTCACGACCAGCAATAGTATTTTGTCTCAAACACCGATATTGTTTACATCCATTTGATCATCAAGCCAAACACAGTGGAGTATGGAAAGGAATAAATAATCGCTATTATTATTCTTGATATGCTCACTGACCTAACATTTTCCACGTCTTGTTCCTATACCTGGCACTGGCACCTATTTATATCGAAACTACAATTCGAACATCCTTGAAAATTGAATAATCCTACTGTTGATGCAGGCAGAATATTCTCACCACAAGGATTATTTGTGGCATTGCATACATGTGGCACGGCATTGGAGTCAATTGTTTCGGTTGCAGAAAAAATAGAATGTTTCATTCGGATCAAAAGTGACTTTGACTTTTCAGAATGAATCACTCATTTATAAAAATAGTATTTTTTGTTTCTAGAGCGCGAAATGCTACTTTGGTGATCGAGATCTGAAATAGTCGAGATGACCAAAGTATTTCGCGCTCGAGTTGCAAACAACATTTGTCTTCAAACAAAAAATATAGTTCTAAAGTGAGAATATGCTTTGCTTGATAATAAATAGTTTTGAACTGGCTTAGAAGGCCTCCCCCTACCCTCCCTAGGTAGGCCCGATGTTCCACGAACGTAATAGGAATTTTCTTTCGTGCGCTCCAACAGATAAAAGAAAGTTATTGTTGAACATTCAGAAATAAATGATTTCGTGGATGTTTCCCCGGTTGAGGACCATAAATTTGAAATATAAATATCTCATATATTTTACATAACAATGCGCGAAGTAGGTACTTCGCGCACTCTTTTTCTTCGCGCATTGTTTCGTGCAAGGTATCATGGTAACGTAGGAAACCGAAAAAAAAAAGTGTCACTTCGCAATTTGTTATCAATGCGCGAACCTTGTCATTTTTTGACGTTTGTAGAAAAATGCGTTTTATGCTAGTCTAGTAAAATAACACTCGTCTCATATGATTCTGTCTTTCATTGTTAACTCAGTTGTGAACAATGAAGCAACAGAATTATATCGAATATTCAGAACATCGTGATATTATTTATGATAATATACCTTTCACACCTACATACATGTAACTTTTTTTTTTAGAAAAATTCGCGAAGATTACTTACGATTCATGTGAAATATACCATACCGGGCGACACAAAAATTGCCTACATTTTGGATATAGGAGACGACAGGCTCATCGAACTGTTATTTCAAATTCATACTATCCCTGCGGATACAGCGGAGATTTCAAGCTTCACGAAAAAATTCGTCGCGACCATGGAAAATGTTTCCATGGACAGAAGAGTCCCTCCGATCCAGACATTTTGGCTATACAATAACACCAAGATGTCCGTCAAGTACAAGATGGATACCTCGGAGGTCACGAGGATTTGCCAAAGAGAACGATTCAATATAGGGGAATGTGTGAATCCAGAAGGACAGATAGGACCTTATCGGTCTTGGCCTCTGCAGTTCAAATTTCACCCTATTGAAGTTAAAGTACATGAGGTAGGTACACATACACAATTACATACAGGTGCCACACGAATTCATTCAGAGGCGTCATTTCAGTGAAAACTAGGGGAGGGTAAATGCGCCGCAGGCAATTATTGTTATTCAAGGTCAAATACCTTCAGATTGGAAATTTGATTTCTTTCAGACTGGTAATGACTCCATTTCAGTGTATACCAAGGGCGGCCAAGGAACTCAGGCAATATTTTTGTACGGTAAAATATGCGCCGCAGGCGAAATTTTTGTTGGTATTCAGAGTGCGACAATCACCTCCATCACATTAATATATTATAAATTATTCAGTTTCATGTTCTCAGCTTGTTCTTATTTGTAATTGATACATCTGAAAATTAGGACAATAGGAAAAGCAAGTGAAAAGTATTATACCTAATAACTGTCTATAGGAAACGAGCTCTAGAGCAGGTGGATGTTCTTCAGATTTTTTGGAATTTTCTCTCATAGTTTCATTATATGAAAATATTCTAATGAGGTTGAAGATTATGTCAACTACTCTGCGGTACCTAACCTAACCTGACTTTCTGCGAGAGATTTCCTAATACACTCAATTCCCAATTCTTATATTTTATGGCAATTTTATGTATGATATCTACTATTACAGTGATGGTGGAGTGATGTTATAATTTTTTTTTTCAAGTACTGTGTCTCTTCAAGTACTGGTGCAATACTGTTTATGTGTATGTGAAATCAATTTTATGTAGAAAACCCCTGACCTCCCCCTAAATGACACCCTTGAACTAATCGAAATTTAGACAGTTATCTTCTCGGAAGACACAATTAGTTGAGCATGATTCAAAGATATTGTTTTGCACAGCCTACTTAGTAAATCATTCGAACTGCAAGGAAATTCAACTAGTCGTTGATTTATGAATATACAGGGTCCGGACGATTCATTAAATTAGACAAAAGTTGCGTAATTTGAACCTCTTCAATATGTCGTTTCGCAAAGTGAAAAAAGTCATCCGTTAATTAAAGTTTGTGTGATTAGGTATTTAATCAAGACAAAGAATTAGAATATATCAGAAATATTCAATCTTCATCAGTTTCAGAGATATACAATGCAACTTTAGTTTTTCTTATAGGCGCCATTTTTGTTTTTTATACCATTCAATAGGGCAAAAAATCCCTTTACAGCCATGTATAACATATCGATATGATCACATGAAACAGCTTCAAAAAACAGTAAAAACCATTTTTTGCTAGTTGTCACTGCTCAAAATTGAACTGTCATACATTTTACAAATGTGGCCATGATAATAAGAAAACAGAATATGTCAATCGCTATGACTACAGTATTGATAGTATTTTGACATAAGTGTATCTCGAATCAATTTGAAGTGAGTTTTTCAAAGTGATATTAATTCGAAAATTGTAAAATGGTGCGTTATAGTGTCAGTAAAAAAAAGATATGTATGACGTTTACATTAGGTGTTATGCTAGATTATATCCAGATAGAAATTCGCCTTCAAGGAAAACAGATTATTTAATTTCAAGTAATTTGGATGTGTTCTGAAAAAGCGAGACAAATACCGTAATGATAGTTTGCAAATTCAAAAACTTTCATTTAATGTGAACATTTCGTATTTGAAATGTTTATGAAAAAGCTGTACAAATCAATCGACAACTATGATATCATTTCAAATAATCACGAATACCCAAGGAACAAAACAAATGAGGGTTGACAGTAAACATTAAGACAGTTTGGTGACATTAATTTCTCATCTAATGATGTTTCACCTTGTTAAAAATATGGTTCACGCAATTTTATCGTTGCAACAAACATAAAGTTTGTGATTCCCTCAAAAAGTTGAAATCCAAGTTGATTGCACAAATATTCTTGAATTTGAACAAAAGAATTCTCAACTGATGTAGTTATGATTAACTCATGAAAGTGTTTAGGGTGAATAAAAAAAAAATTAGAAATTGGGAAATTAGAACGGAAAGAATTGAAAAACTAAAAAATGTCTTAGGATGCCATGCTTTGGTATTTAGGCATATCTTTCAATTGTTAACAACTTTTCTCGATAACATTTGACTGAATTTTCCGAAATAAGGGTACTTTACTCCTGAACAATTTAAAAATTTGTTGACCTACCCTGTATGCTGTTTGACTTGCAACCATTCTAAGTGCACCTAAAATGATTACCGAACATGCACCAACTTTCGGCACTATCTGTATTTTGGTTGTACAATTTATTAAAAAGTTTCCTATATGTTGCACACTTAAATGGCCACACTGTATAGTGACAATATTTTAGGTTTTTATCCCAATCAAATTTGGAGATATCACAAAAATGTTGCAAGTTACGGGAAATGGCGTCCCTGTAATGAAGCCTCTAGATCTAGAAAGAGTCACTGACATGCCCACAATCGGTATGACAACCAACAAGTTTCCAGCAACTCTATCGAAAAACTATTTGATTTTCAATTCGTTGCTCGTGTGGAATACATCAGAACAGATAATATTCATCAACAATGTCACTAAGGATAGAATTATACAATATGAATGGGCAGAGTATGTATATTTCATTGTTCATTGTTTTAGTGCATTAGGTACCTACCTCAGAGAAGTTGAAAATATTTTTTCTGCAACCGACACAAAAGTCGTCCATTTTGATACCAAAATTAGCTCTTAAATTGACGTTTCTATTACTGACACAAAAATAGGTATGTTGCTAGGCAACATATTTAGTTCCTAGGAGCTAAAGTTGAATTTTAGTTCCTAGGAGCTAAAGTTGAACTTTAGCTCCTAGGAACTAAAAAGGATATACTGGACGTCATCAAGAATAAACAACATTGTGACGGCTGGTTATTTGGGTTGAGACGCATACCTGATTTGTTTCCGATTTCAGCAGATTTGGCATTTCATACCCATGCTGATGGAGATATGAATACACCTTATTATAGTTTAGTATTATGTTATGCACATCTCAGCTAAGTATTTTTGTTTTGATCAGGGAAGCCTTCAAGATTCAAAATAAATACTTGCTTGATCTGTATTTCATTTGTTATTATCGGGATGGATAACTTGGCTTTGAATAATCACGGCAAGCAATAGTTTTTTTGTCTCAAACAACGATATTGTTCAGCTTCATTTGATCATCAAGTCAAACACAGTGTCGTGGTATGGAGAGGAATAAATAATCACTATTATCATTGTTGATATGCTCACTAACCTAACATTCTCCACGTCTTGTTCCTATAGCTGGCACTGGCGCGGTATTTGCCATTAGAGCACCTGGTCCATACACAAATATGTCACTCTGTGGTTGTACTTATATTGAAACTACAATTCGAACATCCTAGAAAACCTAACCTGCTGTTAATGCAGGTAGAATATTCTCACCACATGGATTATTTGTCAATATTTGTTGCATTGCATACATATGGCACGGCATTGGAATGGTTACTTCACATGTTTATTAGAGTTAATTGTTTCGGTTGCAGAAAAAATAGCATGTTTCATTCGGATCAAAAGTGACTTTGTTCGACTCGCAAATTTTGCTTTCGCTCGGCTTCGCTAAACGCTCCGCCTCGCAAATGCAAAATTCGCTTGTCAAACAAAGTGTCACTTTTGATCCTAATAAAACAATCTACTATTTTCCTACGACCACCTATAAGAACAGCACAAAACACATTGATTTGTTATTGAGAAAGTGACTCGTTTCACTATGACAACATATAACAGTTAGAAAGTTCGAAAGTAAAACTCACATGGGTGGAAATATTCGAAAATCGCACAGTAACAGGGTCTATAGATTATGATGTACCAATGAATGATTATTATGCTGAATTATGGTAAGTTGAGTTATGGTCAAGTTAATGGAAAGTTGGTGTCGATTTAAAATGAGTTGTCGTTAATGTTGACGTAATGTTAAGTTGACGAAAAGTTGAAATCAAGTTAATTTCAATTGAAAGTTGAATTAATGTCAATGTATTGGCAATGGGCGTGTACACCTTAGTAGAACTTCTAACTCAAACCATGTTTATAATGATCCTTTTATACATAAATAATGATTGACGACATAATACGATCGAAAAATTTACTGGAATGTTTTTTTTTTACATAAATAATAGGACCTTTTGAAAAGGGACCCTCTTATGCATGGCGTAGAAACCTCATCTCGCCATAGTTAAAAGAAAATACCAAACGCCCGACGGAGACTGAGGCAACTGATATATTAATTCTTTCAACTGTGATCTCGCGCTAATTCACTCTGTCAGAAATCATGTATCATTCATCTCTGTTTGGAATAGTCTTGTTTCAGTATTAGGGTTTTGACGTCACATCATATCGCCTCGTTTTCAGAGGTCCGAAAAATCGGGGATTTCAATAATTTTTCATAAAACGTAGGGAGATCACAGCAAGAAACGGTTTGCGGTGGTGAGCTAGTTTGGGTGAGTTCTATCGAATTATGGAATAAAATAAGCCCATTTAGTGATCAATGTGAAGTTAATATCAATTTAATATTGAGTTGATGTTAATTTGATTTCAAGGTAATGTCAAGTTAATTTTGAGTTAATGTTGAGTTAATGTTAAGTTGATGTTAAGTCAATGTTAGGTTAATTTTAAGTTAATGTTGAGTTGATGTTAAGTTAATGTTAAGTTAATTTGAAGTTAATGTTAAGAAACTGTTAAATTTATGTTAAGTTGATGTTGAGTTAATGTTGAGTTAATGTTAAGTTCATATTAAGTTAATGTTAAGTTACCGTTAAACTAATGATGTCATTTAAATATTGCAGTAAAATTAAATAATAATGATAATGATATCACCTTCATGTGATCGAATATAAATAATTAAATAAATAAATATACTTTTGAATATGATTAGAAACATGATCCCTACTCTGGTCTTTTAAACACTCATGACATATAATATAAATATTTGTGGTCGTAGGAAAAATAGTGTACAAAACTCGTAGGAAAGTGCATTTCCTGCGCTCGTTTCGTTTCCGCACTCGCCGCTCTGCGGCTCGTGCTAAACGTCCACTCGCGCGAAAGATGTCACTTTCCACACTAGTTATGTAATATACTAATTTTGCTTGCTCTGTGGAAAATACATCACATTCTTAGGCCCTCAGTATTATCTTTCGTTGTTTTCAGAGTTGGTATCAGAAATATACTAAATATCACTGCTTCGCCCAAATCAGGCGTTTTGCAACCTAAAGAATCACAAACCATAGTAATTAAGGTGAAATCCTTCAACGAACCTTGCATAACTGACAAATTGTTGAACTGCACTTTAACAGACTACAATCAAATGTATCTTCACAGAACGTCTGTTGCATTGCAAGATGAAAAATTCAAAGAACTAGAAGGACAGTTTGTGTTGAATGAGAAAGGAGAAAAGGAATATATGGTAAATACCTCAGAGTAACTAGTTTTAGATTTATTTTGCTTATTTCCTCTATGGAGAGATATCACACTCTAAAGACCATGGCGTCTATAGTAGGGGAGGCAAAGAGGCTAAATAGGGATTTACTCGAGCGTTGTGGGGACGTATCAGATTGTGAAGATTAGATGCGAAAATGAAAGAAAGTTTATATGATATATGACCTTCCACTGGTGGGGAGAGCGTGTACAGGTGTTCAAAAATGTAAAAAAAAAACAGTCACATAGAAATACTCGAACGCATCAGATATTAATAGTTCCTTAATAGTTTCTGATAACCGAAAAATATTAATCTGCCGGTTTGCATAGTAGGGGTGGCCGTACGAAGGGATAGAGAATAGGTAAATAAAAGTTATTCGAGCGTGTCAGATATTGAGAAGGGACGTTAAGTAAACCCCCAAGTAGCTCCTATTCAAAAGACTAACGATTTGGACGCGACCAAAAGTCATGATCAATTATCAAAAATGAAAAAAAAAATCGTGACCTTGAAATACTCGAGCGCGTCAGATTATGATACAGACGCTTCATCTTAGTGTCCTTGTCGTATCCACCCATAATCTGAGAATTATATAGAGGAACTAGCTGACCCGGCAAACGATGTTCTGCCATAAACACTATTTCTAGAAATTATTTTTTTAGTTAAATATTCTTCAACACACTTTTGTTACTTTATTTTCAACTTCTTTTCAGTTTGGCCTCGAGTTTGGCTATCTATAGAAGCGTGTTTCATAATAGTTTTTCAAACTTATATTTATTACAAAGCTAGTTCGTCATATTGGATCCGCCATCTTGAATTTCCCAATTTTGAAGAAGAAGATCATAATCTCCGACCCCGAAAACCCCTAGATTCAAAATTTGAATACGTATCAGAATCACAAAACTCGGCCGCCATATTGGATCCGCCATCGATCTTTAATTGCCTAATTGTTACGTTGAAATCATAATCTCTGACCCCGAAAATCCCATATACCAATTTTGAATAGAATTGGATCATAATAACAACTTGTTCCCTATATCGGTTTCGCCATCTTGAATTTCTCGCTTTTGACAAAAGAATCATAATCTCCCACCACGAAAACACCCATGTACTAATTTTGTTTGTAATTAATAGAATTGGAACATAGTTACAAAACCCGTCCGCCATATTGGATTCGCCTTCTTGTATTTCCAAATTTTGATGGAAGAATTATAATTTGTGACCCCAAAATCCCTCAGTTACAAATTTTGAATGGAATCGGATTATAATTACAAAAAACTCGCCCGCCATATTGGATCTCACATCTTGGATTTCCAAATTTTGAAGGAAAAATCATTATCTCCGAGTCCTAAAACCCCTAGATACTAATTTTGAATAGAATCTGATCATAATTAAAAATCTGGTCTGTGATATTACATCCGCCATTTTGAATTCCTAATTTCGACGAAGGAATCATAATCTCTTATCTCAAAAACCCCCAGTTACCTATTTTGATAATATCTAACCATAAATACAAAATTTCTCTTCCATATTGGATCCTCCATCTTGAATTTCTAAATTTTGACGAAATAATAATATCCGACCCCGACAACCCCCAGATACTAATTTTGAATAGAATCGGTCCATAATTGAAAAACTCGTCTGCCATATTGGATCCGCCATTTTGGATTTCCTATTTTTGACGAATAAATCATAATCTTCGACTCCAAAAATCCCCAGATACCAATTTTGAATATAATCGGAATATAAATAAAAAACTCGTCCGCCATATTGGTTTCGCCATTTTGAATTTCCTAATTTAGATAAAGAAATCCTAATCTCCAACTTCGAAAACCCCCAGATACCAATTTTGAATGGAATCTGAACATAATTACAAAACTCGTCTGCCATATTGGATCCGCCATCTTGAATTTCCAAAATTTGACGAAAAATCATAATCTCCGACCTCGAAAACCCCCAAATACCAATTTTGTATGAAATCGGATGAGACTACTCGTCCGCCATATTGGATCCGCCATCTTGAATTTCCGATTCGAAAAATAGATTACGACCGATTCTCATGCCTACCGAATACGCACAAAAAATTTCATACGAATTGGTCGAGCCGTTTCGGAGGAGTTCGACCACTAACACCGTGACCGGGTCGCGATTTTACTAAATATAAACTATTGCAGCACAAGACACGCCCCCTACTACGGCATTGCAAAATATAATCGAGCCCAGCAGAATCCTGCAAAATCTAATCTTTGACAGCACAACGTAGCTGATTCATATAAATAAATCGATTGAAAAAGTAGCACATACCACGTTATATCTCATCTTCAAAGTACTTTACTTAGGCAAAACTCAGAGACTATTTATCCTCAACGAACTAACCTATCCCTGATTGCAATATTTTTGAGGAAGGAAAACCGAATGGAGTGTAGAAACACATTGATTAATAATATATTTCAAAAGTTGAGTTCTTCAACAAAATTGAATAAAATGAGACTGTTTATCCTAAACGCACTAACCTATTTGACTTCAAATATTTTATGAAAAAGGAAAACCAGAGTGAAGTAAAAAAACATTGGTGAAAAAAAAAAGTTGCAAAAAAAAGTTCGAGTTCACAGCGATTCGAACCATGAACCTTCAGACTGAGAGTCGACAGCGCTAACCAGTAGACCATTTGGGTGTATGAATTTACTGCGTACAAGAGATTGACAACGAGAAAGCTTCAGTTCTTGCGTTGGAGCACAGTATGAGATATGACGTATTATGGTGGGCGTCAGGCGCGTGCCTAGGGTAATTTCATGGGGGGGGTAATCACCCATTTCAGGACCAATATTTCCTACGTTTTAAAAACTTAAACTTCAGTAACACTAAGGCATTCATATTTAATTCTTAAAAAAATTAACAAAATGTTCTTTAAAACAATAGCTCGAATATGAGAGAGTGTAAAAATAAATAAACAGAATATATTTCAAAATGAAAACAATAACTCAAAAATAAAAACTCGAATATAAAAGAATGTAAAAATAAATAAAGAGAATATCATTCAACACAAAAATAATAACTGAAAAATAAGTAAATGTGTAACTGAAAATAAATTAGCAGAATATTCTTCAAAACGAAAACAATAACTCAAAAATGAGAGAATGTACAACTAAAAATATATAAACATAACAAAACAGACAAAATAATAAAAACAGGTTACCTATAAATGATAAATGAATGGTATCAAATTGTAAATTCCATATTTCTTTGTTTTTTAGCACTAAATCTGTCAATGATATTATTTATATTAATTTTCATATCCCGATGTATATTCAGCAAGGCAAGTCCTGTTAAACGAGTGTCCGACATGGTTTATTCCATATAAGAATAAATAAAAATGATGCACCCTAGCATAGCCAACAAAACACAATGAACGACGAACTTATTTCGGCGTATTCCCGACTATTTCATTTCAAGTATATAATGTATTTACATAAGCACCTGCTTCGTGAATTCGGCCGTCGTTGTGTCGGCGAACAATAACAAATAAAAACCCAGTTCACTCAACACTCAACTCCATAATGCACCACCCTGATTGCGAAATTTATAATTTAATGTTGTGACTAGAAGCCTGAAGACTAGAAGACAGGTGTGAAAGCCCATCGTTGTGTCTTCATCATCATCATTTTTTAAGTTTGAAAATAAGGAATGTTCAAATTTTTTCATCATCATCGTGGTCATGGGGGGGGTAATTACCCCATTACCCCCCCCTCAGGCACGCGCCTGGTGGGCGTGTCTTGTGCTGCAATAGTTTATATTTAGTAAAATCGCGACCGGGTCAGCAGAATTTTATATATTAGATTACCTTAATCGATGGTTGGATATTTTTGTCAACTGAATGTAATAACTAAAATATAAAATATACAGGGTGGGTCAGTTTTTTGTACCAGGACTTCAACAGCTCAAAAAATTCAAAATTTTGAGATGGACGGCTCATGTAGACATACAGAGTGGACCAATAGTGTGGCAAAGTGAGATAACGGCTTCGCTGTTCGAGATAGATGAACAAACATTCTTGAGATGGTCTAGTCTCATGAGCAGTATATTTCTGAAATATTTTGCGTTATACAGGGTTACTCGAAAACGCGTGGCGTATCAATATTATACTTTTTCTAATAGCACACCTTGTATTTTATTGCATTTTCAGATTCCTCCTTATGAGTTGATTGATAACAATATATGAAGTGATTTTTTTTTCAGTTTTCTACGTTACCACAATTACATACATAGTTCTCAGTGGCTGCAAGCACCCCACTTAATTATTGATGATTTTCGCTACTTCGGCTTGTGCAAATCGGCAGATAATATTATTTCCGTGATCCGTGACGAATTGCTTCCAAAATAAGAAAAAAATTAACCGCGCTCTGACTATCGATTTTTTTTACTAATCTGATCGGCTCCCTCAACTTTCGACACCATATAAAAGGCCCAGGGGGTCTATTCTCGAGCGATATTCGTATACGAGTTCGATCTTCTATTTCACTTCAATATACGTCACATACATAAGTGCATCTTTCTTTATTCGTATACGAATTGAATTCGAACGGTTCGAGAATAGAGCCCCAGGTATGGTGAGAGTACTTCACAAGGGCCAAGAATACCCCCCTTATGTTCTGCCGCGCTCGAGTAAATCCCGAAATCCCCGCTTTGGCTTCCCTACTACTACGGAAGTGCTGGAAAATCAACAATTTGAGAGTGTTATTCATTTATCATTTTGACATGGATAGTTCATGACGTAAAAATGGAACAACATAATAATTGAACATATTTCACTAGGAAAGAGTAAGACATTTTTTGCTATTTGTGAGCAGCAGTTACTGTCAACTATGCTGTCAAGTTGAGCATTTGTGAGGAAATTTTTCGTTACAGTAACTTCGGATTCAGCGTGCGCACAAACACAATTTATTTCATTACTGTAATTTTAATTTATAGTTTATTAAAGTTAAACACTGTAGTTCATATGAGATGATTCATCTAACTCATAAGTCCTAGTGCACAGTGCATAACATCTCATAATGCATAACCTTGAAGTTCACAATTTTTAACTTTTATGCATAACACATCAAAGTTACACATTGTGCTTGTGCATTTGCTAAATCCGTCTTTATTCTATAGTGTCTAAAACATATAAATTTTCAGAAAAACGATATCATTTTATATGATATACCAAAACCTGATACTATTTCAATAAGCATCAGCGTGAATATTCTACATGACCAAGACATAAGATTATCCCAAGAAGGTAGTAATAATCTAATCGAATGGTTCACTTGGTCCCCTCAAGAAGATATGGATATCAACGTACAGAATTTGTTGAAAACATTTTCGTACTCTATGGAAAATCGGACCAGGAATCCCGAGACAGAAATTGGAAAAAACATAGAAGTCTATAAGCATGTTGATATTTTCAGAGTGGTATTAGAAGAACTCATCACGTGAGCTGAAAATATTCCCTACTTTGTTAGACTTTTTTTGTTCTGAACTTATGGTACTATTTCGTAACATCTATAAATCAATGTAAATCGATGATATTGTTAGTTTCAGGGTGTCAGTTTTTTGTCGCAGGACTTTATCATTTTCACGAACACATATTTTCAATATGAAAACTTCGTGTGAACATATATTATGCGTAGGAAATGGATTGAAATTTGGTACATCTATTACACTTGGAAAATTTATTATTTAGGGCTACTAGGCGTTTTTGATCACCTACACCTACCAAATTTAAAACTCATTAACTTTTTTGAATACCTCTTTCATTTGGATGGATGGATTTTGAGGTAAATACCAAAAATAATGTACTTGTGACAAAATATTTTTCGAATACACTTGTAGTTGACATTTCTCAATAATTGATTAGAATATCTAGAATGATCATAAAATGTGTTATGAAATTCAGTGGCGAAACGAAAAACATTCAAAAAATATCACACCGCCAGATTTTCTGAAAAGGGGCTCCTGGGCATATATGTGTTTTGTACCTTAAAATGGCATCTTTTTAAAGCTGTTGAATTCCTGCTACAAAAAACTGACTCACCCTGTATAAGACAACATCTGCTATAAAATGCCTATATGCCGCCTTACGACCAGGAAACATAGACGTCAACTCAAATTGATAGCATGAAATTATTAGGGTGACTTTTTTTTGTTAGAATTATAAAGAAGAAAAAATAATGTGACGAGCTCGGTGACGAGTAATTGATATTTTCAAAATTTAATTTTCTTGCAATATGAAAATTTTTAGTACTGAAATTACTTTAGATGTATAACAAGTATATCAAATAGAAGAAAATAGTTCCGGTATTTAGATGAAGATGAAGTTATACCATACAGGGTGTTAATTAATTGAGTGCTGATAATACAAGATATGAATCGTCAGGTGATTTTTAGGAAAAAAGTTTATATCATTATATGTGTTTAATCAAAACATTCAATATCAGACCTACGTGAACATCACTGTTTGAAGTAAAAAATCAATTTTTGTCGTGTTTCCACTTGAAGTGAGTGCCTACTAAGTAAAATAAATTTCAGTTTTTAGAAAAATCAGTGGCGTACCATTTTTTCTTCAAAAATTGTCAGTTCAAACCCCGTAAGGACGTCACTGGTAAACTTACTTTCTTCTTGAAACTTCAACACCTTGTAGCTCAAAAACTAATAGGTCTAGGACATATATTGATATGAACTTTTCTCCTTAAAATCACCCAAGGAATCACACCTTGTATTATCGGCACTCAATTTATTAACACCCTGTATAATATAGTACATTGATATCACGAGTCTAAATTAGTGACCCATTCGATCTATAACGGTTCCATTCAATCCCTGAACGGAATGAAGGCACATGAATCTCACAGTATACCGGGTGATTCTCCAGGCAAAGACACAAATGCATGAATTCAATTTAAATATGCATATATAGCAGTAACATAACATGAATGCATCAAATTTTTGATAAAATATGCTGTAATATTTCAAAAAAACACCATTTGAATACCCTACAATTTCATGGAACGTTCGAATATAGCGTTCGGCGGCGCCAGTACTGACGTGATAAGCCCTTTTCCTGTGTTGCCAGCTGTTTCATTTCAAGGAAATATCAAGTAAATATTTCTCAATTTAGAATCGAGCCTATACTGTGAACTGGTGATATAATTTCATATTCATTAATGAAGTAAATGTCATCAATATAGTATGATATGGTATAGGTTGTTTCCATCATTTCCAATTCTTCAAGTTTATAGCTGACATTATAAGTAATCGAGTAGGTAGTAACACGTTGTAGGTTCGAGCAGCAGCGACGAAATTTTGACTACTACTCAATTATTCGTTCAAACAGAGGTTTATAAAACAATCTTACAGAACGATTCTGGTATACTTTTTAATGAACGCAAATTCTAGTGACATCACTATAATATCTATGTCATAACATGCCACAATCCAGTGTATAGAAAAACAGGAAGAAGTAAGTTTTAAACTGTCTTGCTCAGTTCATCCATGATATTGTTGAAGTCAATTGAATGTTGAGAGCGATAAATGTTGGAATATCTAAAGAAGTAAAGAATCGGTTGAAACGGCAACGCTGTTCATCTCACTGAATAGTGAATTATCGTTTTTTTCCCGACTACCAATGTACGGTCGACGCGTTATAGAACTTGTGACGTCAGTACCGCTGATTTTCCGTTATGTTCAAACGGGAGCATTTTTTTGGGAATTCATTTTGTGAAATCTTGAAGGGATAAAAAAATTTAAAAAATTCTCTATGCATTTCCTCATCGTGATGAACGTTGTAGTATTTTTACTAGAAATAAGTGTTCTTGCCTATTGTCAAAATTCGAGTACCTATACAGGATGTTGCCGAAATTGGGGCGATGAATAAAATGGGGTGTTCTATGAGACATAATAGCACGATAAATAACAGGAAAAAAAATTTCTGAAAAATTTTAAAAAAGTTCTCACCATACTATACATATATTTCATCTATTATTGAATGTCCGGCAACATTGCAAGAGTCATTGATACTTCCGGTGCTTGTGAAAAAGTTCCAGGCAAACTTTTAAGCTCTATATCTTCCAAATATTTGTTTTTCGACAAAAATGTATTCATTCATTTCGTTCTGTTTTTTCTGCTCCTATCACCAATTTCATTAATCGCCCCAATTCCGGAAAAACCCAGTATGAAGGCTCACAACAATAATTGAAGGGTCTAGTGTGAAAAGGGTATAAGTGCCAAATAATGTTTTCTGGGTTTGTACCATAACAGAAAGACTAGAATGAGCCAGAATTTTATGATTTTTGTGTGTGACGCAAATCTACTGAACTGATGAAACAACGGACGTAAAAAACGCATTGAACAAGACTAACTTCTGTGAATTGTATTGAATAGGAATCTAATATATTTCCAAGACCTTATAATCTCCAAAAGTTCAAAAAAAATTCAACACCTACCTCCTCTTCCTGTCCTCCCAAGGTGGTGACCACCATTGAGGCATTCTTCCAGTCCTCCTTTTTTATCGTATTATAGATCCAATTGGAAGTGGAATTTGCTGACGGTCCTCCAGAAGCAGACTGCCGGGAAAGTGAGTCTGTAGAAGAATCTTCAAGGTTTGCCTATCAGAGTCCGTAAAAGACCAATCCGGTCGTTTTATCGAGCCGATTTCTTGGGTCGGTTCTCTGGCCAGATCCTTGTGAATCCTCATGCTGGCAGGTACATCTGATATACTCTGATAGAACCTCCTCCAAGAGTATTTTTTGGCTTTCCTTATTTCTGTGTTATAAGCCGTTAGAGAAGTGAGGTAAGTGTCCCAGTACCCTGTTTCTTTAGCCCGATTGAAGAGACGTCGAACTTTTTGTATTTTTTTGTTTAGGCTCTTGCTCCACCAAGGTGGTCTTTCTTCTCCTTCAATGGGCAGTTTTCCTAATAGGCCCTTAGAATGGTGGTTGTCGCACGTTCATTCGCCACTTCGAATTCAGCTCCATTTTCAATAGTACTGATTCTGGGATCTAGGTGCTTCTGGAGAGATCACAGTACCCGTTCCAGTCTGTGCACTTAGGATCACGAAATTGTACCATTGGTCGGTGTCCTGTTCTTATGTCAAATCGTATTTGCTCTCTAATGATCAGAACATGAGGGCTCTGTGGATACTTGCCAGTTAACAATCTTTGTACTCATTGAATGTGTACTGATTGTTAAGTCTGAAACTTCTCTGCGAATTCTCTTCACGAAAGTTGGCTCCGTGCCTACGTTATTTACGACTAGCCCTTCACCTATCATACTCACCTCTTTCATTGATGTTGCTACTTCCCCAGTCCAAATGGTGGGCATTTGCATCACATCCAATGATCAGTTGCCTGTTTTTCCTCTCACAGAAGGCGATTAGCTCTCGCATTGCTGCTGGACGAGGATGTTCCCTCAGGTCGCCTGGAAAAACTCAGAGCAGACTCTACTACGTCTAAGCTGCTGTTCCCCACCGGGACCGAGAGCTGAGCTGCAACCACATCAGCGGTACAGAAACCTGTTAACATAAAATAGTTGATGTTATTCCTGATAAGTAACAAGTCCTAGGTTTGTCACCTGTAGTGCATGCAATCAACTTACCAGAGCAGTTTCCCAGGCCGCCTGTGTTGGAAATCCAGGGTTCCTGGATCAAAGCCACATCAAGTTTTTCACGGGCGAACCTCCTGCCAACGACGAAAGTGGCAGCTTTGGCATGTTGGATGTTCGTCTGGAGAAACGAGATGTGGGTATCCATCTTCCCTACGAAGAGAAAGGGCAAGGAGGATTGCTTTCCCCTCTTGCGACAGGTTCCGGTCTACCTCGTTTTTTCGACGCCTCACTTCGAAGGGGTTTTCCCCTTGCCTGTAAGTGTCGTTTTGGTTTTGTCGAGAGTTTTGACAGAAGTCCCCGAGCTCGCATTCTCCTCCAAGGTGGATTTATCCACCTTTTCAGGTCTTGCGATTTTGCCCGAAGACTCTGGCTCTGCTCCCGATGTCGGATTTTCTTTGTGTTTTTGAACAGGAATTGCACCTGTTCAAAACTGAAGTGTGGGCGGAAGTGTAGCCGCTCCAGTTCCTTAATGGATCCATTGTCCATTGAAAATGTCCACGTTTGTCCCATACCTGCGCTTTCCCTGTGTAGTATAATAGTCCACTCCTGGGTGCGCAGTGTATGGTTCATCTTTGGTAGACGATTTGTTGTCCACCGTCAGTCTGGGAAGCCTTTCATCATCTGGAATGGATGCCATGCAGATGTGTGTAGTCCACGTCGAATAGTGCAGCTCTGGAACCGGACTTGAGGACCATCGTTCGGTAGTTTGTCTACAGTGGCCATAACGGATCGCTGTAGCAATCGAATAAGTTCCATTTTTCCTAGGTACGCATGATTATAGGGGTTCCCTTTAATGCGCACCAAGCGATAAAAAAATACATATAAGCACTTACACCGTTTTGCAGAAATCATTTTCACAAACTCTGTGAGTGAGTATATTTACTGACCCGTAGATGGCAGTCGCGATCAGTTCAAACACTTATAATGTTTATGCAGGAACATAACTTGGTCTTAGGTAAACAAATCTGTAATAATACCAGAAATTTAAATTTTGCATTTATACCCTTCTTGCAATAGGCCCTTATAATGCAAATTTTGTTGTGCCACTTAACGCCATAATCGTTATGGTCAAGTCCTCTTGGACTCGAAAATGATATTATTGTTATCATTGATTAAAGCCGGAAAAATTCCACAAAAACCAATATCAATGGTTGGTCTGTGTGGTTGTCGACTTGTCTAGATATATTGAGTGTGAAGGCAAATAGTGAAACGGAGTCTTGGTCGATTATTATAGATCATGTTTTATAGGCATGGCGTAAACATTATGTAAACACAATACAAATAAAAAAGTGAGTAGTGAAATTACTTTTGAAGATGGAATAGATTGCCCTCCATTGCAAAATACTCAATACAAAACGTTTATAACTGATTCATCTCTTCATAGTGCCTACTCAAATTTGACTATCACAAATCCTAGAAATTCCGTTGCACTTAAATTTGTACTTGAAACGTCGTAAATTAGCCGACGCAATCAACGGTGGTTTCTTGGGCATTGAGGGTTTTGAAATGATCACAACCTATCGCTGAAATCTAAACACTGTCAAAGTTCAATTTGAGAAATAATTACTAGTCCCTTAGTTCGGCAGAAGGCAACTCAGCAAAGGTTTACTTTATTGTCTTGAGTCCCAAAGGATCAAATGTGTCACTTTCGTCTCTTTTCGAAGGAAAAGAAGAATATATTTAGCTACTGCAGATCTGGGAGTACACAAAATTATATCAAGATGAAGATACTTAAAGAAGCTTTTTGTATTGTTGTTATCTTCACATTGGCAACAATTACTCTTGATATTTAGTTCAAATACCGAAAATGATTTTATTTTTCAGGAATGTCACATTTAGCAAAACCTTCAAAGAGTTATTGAGATGTTCACTTGAAAAAGTGCCACCTTACTACCATCAAATTACCATGGATGATAGACTGAATCAGAAAACTATGGTTGATCCAGTGAATAAAGATACTTTGGATAAAATAAGGCAGCAGGAAATAAAGAAATTCTTTGAGAAACCGACATTGTCAGTGATTTCCGAAGTTTTGAAAGAATTGATACTAGATGGTATCCAGGAAACCTTCAAGCTTGGAATAACTCACCCAACAGATACTGATTATAAGCAAATGGACAAAGGGGTGGAAGAACTTTTGAAAATTTGTAAAGATTGCTCCTGCAAAATAAATAAGATGTAAATTTTCAAAATGCATAACTTTTAATAAAAACTCAGTCACACAATAACAAGTGGATCCTTGATTCTCCTGAACACTGCTAAGAACTTGTCCCCATTATTTCTTGACACCTTCTGCCCTTCTTCTGTACTACTATATAATTTTTCAATGATTGGGTCCAATTTCTGAAATTGAATAATGGTCAAAACAATTCATACTTATAAATGAGCAGAATGTAGCTACCAGTTCTTCATCTGAAATCCTACTAAACAGTGGATGTTCTTCAAAATGTTGAACCATCCATTCATGTAGGTCTTTAACATCTGTCACTGTATAAACTATTCCACCTTCAGATAGAACATATGCATATTCTGCTAGTAAACTCTGATTCACTATCCTCCATTTATGTTTTGCCTTTTTGAAATGAGGATCAGGATACAAAAAGAATATTTTTTTCAACTGAAATAAATTTGAGAATATATTAAAAATTCTATTAATTACTCAATCAAAAAAAAAAAATAATCATTCATATTTTTATGAAAATCAACATCAAATGAATGACTTAGGTACATATACCTTAAATGGGAAGCAATAGGGAGATTTGAAGGAAGATTATTTTTAAAAAATCAACAATCCTAACCTATGAAGTTTTCAACTCGATTTTCTCCCAGAAAATAATTTGGGATAAGAAAAAAATAATGACTATATACACATTGACTTCACATATCTTAGCAGGAAAACCAAAGAAAAAATGTGATGAAAAAAAAAAACTCATAGAATCCAAGCCAATAAATTTTTCATCTAGTTTCACAAAGTTTGACTAATATAGGGATAGGGAGAATTTGATCAAAACAACCTCTAAAAATAAAAAACAATAAATCTGTTACCAATGTCACCTAGATTTTTGCACAGGAAAGAGGTTGAAATGAAAGAAATAAAAGACAAAGAAGGGCTACATACACATTGATTCACATACCTAAGGAGAGAAGCAATATTATTGGAAAAATCTAGAAAAATCAGAACCAATCAATTTTCCACCTTGATTTTCTCACAAAAATAGATGGGGATAACACAAGAAGGCCCATATACACTTTGACTCACACATCATCTGAATATTATAAACAATAATGTTTCTTGAGGTGATGAAGACAATCAATCAATCAATCAATTTTGGTTAACAACTAACATGCTTCCATGCTTGATATCACCAGAGATATCAACTAAATCATATTGCAGAAAGTTATGAAATTAATAGGAAGGGACTGCAATTTCCATTATTTTCCTTACACAACCCTGTTCAAATTATAATTAACATCACTGGAACAAGTTTTCACCTAGCATTTCAATGAGGTGACAAACAGATGTTTCTACTGCAATTATTTGAGTTCAAGTGGTTGCTACTTAGGTGGTTGATATGGGTAGATTTTGCTATGAGACATTTTACTTTGCCTTCTTTTACTGAAATGATTGTGACTTATTTTATACTTGAGATGGATCAGTTGTGTTTATTGTCATCACCCTGCATATGGCAAACCATACACTGTTGGAAAGGCAAGGCAATCATATGAATCCTCATGTAGATGATGAAAATAACAATACATATAGTGTGTCAAAGAATAGGCCTGTTCAAGTCATTTTCGTTTCAGTTTCCATGAATTGAGTAAAACTCAAGATTCTTTTATTTTCAGTATTTGTAAATTTCAATGAATATTATCTTGCCATAATGGAATGCATTATTCCCTGTGTGACATTATGCCCACATGGAGAAGAGATATTTTTGAGGTTGAATCTACCTATGTGAAGAGTTTGATTCTAAGACAGATTGATAGGATACTGGTTATAGGATTGATATGGAAATTGGAATATATAATTAGGTGTGGCCAAAATTTCCAGAAAAAATAGCTTCAAGTCATTTTCCCTATAAAATGTAGAGGATCTCTCAGAAGTGATGTTGCCCTTATGAAAATAAGTGAAATTCATATTCTTCAAAGATGATTTTCCCTCAGTAATAGACATCCAATAGCTGTATATGTCAGTATACTTATATATGTTGGCTTGGAAGGCTGTGTTTTCAAATTATTTGATTCCACCATACTAAATCAGGATATCTACACAGATATTATCATAGTCAAAAATACACCTATAGCTTTCTGAAATATCCCTATATTGTCCACCATTCTATAATAAACACTTCTTGAGGGCTATTACCTGTCCTTTCCTGAAATAATTTGGTAAATACTTCATTGCATTTGTCCTTAAGCATGCTATATTTTGATATTCACTAGGATTTTGAGTTCTGAGGGCTGCAATTCGGTCCATAACATAATCAGATACCTTAACCCTTATTTCCATTCCTATCATCAGGCTGTTAGGAAACATTGGGGACAGGGTTATCAAAAGACCACCATATCCACAGCCTATATCTGCAAATTCAACTGTTGGAGGACTTTCAGCACATTCCTTAAATTTTTCTGGGTAGTATTTACTCCAATCCATGAGGGCTGGTGTCTGAGGACTTAAGGAAATTACATGTTTTTTTTAAATGTAACAGATACGCTGAACATCAACTTACTAGTCAAAGCAATGATCGGCTATGGGATTGGAATGTGCTCTTTGTCTGTAAAACCTTTTTTGTGGTAAGGACATAATTTCTCGGTAACTGCTGAACTTGGATGTTTGCACACTGGACTGGTCACTGTTTTATGATACATCAACGACAAACACTAAGAGGTAAGAGGGCATATTGATAAATGAAACAACACTAACAACAGTATATTTAAAAATTTTGAAAATTTTAAAATTTCTGTCTTTGTAATTCTAACCAAATTTTCTTATCTTATCTTCTTTTTCTATCCCAAGAATCCCGAGGTTTTATGGTTAGGGTTCACTAGAGTTAGAGTCAAACAGAGGAATGTTCTTACTCTCTACTCTCTAGATAGCACTGTCCTAGAGCAGCACTAGCAGCAGATTGTTGATGTCTGATGTGAAGTGATAAAAAAAAGAGTAGAATTAGAACTGACACTAATGACAATAAAGACACTGACACTACTGACAGTACTGACAGTGACAGTGGCAACTTGGTAGGATGAAAACAAGATGAAAATAAAAAATGTTGATTTATGTGTTATTTTTTACCATTGATAAACAATAATAAAATATAACATTCTCAAATTTCAGAAAATGACAACTTGATATACATCCCCTTCGTGCATTGCACAAACGAGCCAAATTAAAATGTTTCACAAAACTGAGAGTTCTAAGGGTACTTTTTTGGAACAAACCAAAGCAGCTAGAGAAGAAAGGGCACTAGAGAAAAAACGAGAATCTTCTACTATACTAATTCAAGCAAATATTAGAGGATGGCTGTGTAGAGTGAAATTTGCAAGAAAAATAATGTGATAGCCTTCATATAAGTGCCTGTTACAGTAAATCACTTTTCTTTTTTTTGTAGAAATGACTTTGACAGTATTATTGCTGATGTTCCTGAAGATAATTCGAAACTACAATTTAAACCAGCTGTAGAAATATACCACCAAACTTTGAGACTGCTCCTGATATGGAGAAAATCAAGAGATAAAGAAAGGTTCCCCAAACTTTGTCACTACATAGTTGCCACACTAGACAGTGATTCTCCCAAGTTCAGCTATGTTGGTGTAGCACTCAATAAAGATTATGTGCTAAGATGGATATCTCACATGAATGATATCCTGTGGATTTGCTGTGAATATTTGAATGATCTCAAACCTGAATTTGCCAGTGATACAAAAAGTATTGTTCTGTATCTGCATGTCCTAGTGTCATTCACAAGTACCAATACATGGAATGTGTTGAAGAATAAGAATATGGAGGTATTGAAGTCTGGGATGAATCAGCTCTGTGCAAATCTTATGGGACAGTTGTTTCACAAAGGATTCTATCTTGTACTGAAGGTAATATACTTGGTAACTGATGTCAACAGGTTAAACCATGCAACTATTATGATTTGGAAAAAAAACTTCATGACGATTGATAAAAATCATCTATGTGACATCATTATTCACATCAACTTTTTTTCCTACTCTAAATAATCATAATAAATCTCTGAAAAGTCACTCCAATCATTTAGAGTTCAATGAAAACATAATGGGTATTAATTCTAAAAGAATGTAAAATGACAAAAAAATATGAAACATGAATGACATAGGTAACAAATTACTTATTTGCCATGGTTCATATAGGCCTTTAAAAAATTGTGTTTCTTCAAAGAATCTGTCAAAGATATTTGAGTATCAATTCCATTGGAATACATACCTGTGACAAATAGTTTTCTTGTTCCACAGAGGTTCTTATTCCTCTGTCAAGAAATGTTAATTTTGGGGAATTTTAGATTCCTATAATTTTTTATACACCCTTTTATATTTTTTTCACAGCAAAAATTCTACAGCTGGAAACTATGACCTGTTACCTACAATTCTGTGATGATTTTCATCACCAATATTGCTGACAGGAAATTCTAGTGTGAAATTATCAAAAAATAAAAACATTTCATGTAACCCCCACAGTTTCACAAATCCCCGTTTTGAGAACCCAATAGCCCTTTTCTGGTAATTCAAAAAAATACTTAATGCAAAATATTTGGTATCCCAGTTTGTTTGATTATTTTAGAAATCATAAAACTTAAGGTATGTGGATGGGAATTCTTTCCTCAAATTAATTTGAGGGCTCTTCATATCATCATAAAACTTAAGGTATGTGGATGGGAATTCTTTCCTTAAATTAATTTGAGGGCTCTTCATAATGCTGAATATGTCACGCTTTTTTGTCGGCTCACTGAACCTATTTTTTTAAATAATAACTTCTTCATGGGAGCAACTCTTCTCAGCCACAACCCGTTCCAGCCACATTTCATCTTAGCCACATCTCATCTCAGCCACATTCTGTCTGAACCACAGAATCCCAACATACTCGAATGATGCGCTGTTGCCACATACTATCCCAATTTCCAATTTAACAGAATGGAATGAATTAAGCATATTTCTCTCAGCCACATCTCATCTCGGCCACATTTCGTCTCGGCCTCATTTCGTCTCGGCCTCATTTCGTCTCGGTCACATTTCATCTCAGTCACATAAGGGTCAAATTGCACTTATCATGCGATGGTTGTTTTTTCGAAAAATTTTTTTGGTACTCACCTATTTTTGTCTGAAAAACACGAACTTGATAATGAAAATGTGAACAAACCACTATTTATCCAGATATTTCAAGAAAAAGTTTGAAATGTCTCCTTCTTTTTTCCCCTGTCTTGGATGCATTTAAAGCTACTTGCTCTTCTTATTTTGTCATTGGACACGTAATATGAATTTTATGGCAAGTTTTTCATAATTAGTGAACAATTATACCAGATCATGGCCATTTAATCAAAAATCAACCCAAATACAAGATGTCAAATGTCAACTGATTTCTTCTGGATGACGTTACACACGTCATTATTTTAATTGATATTCATCCTTCTTTTCACTCAATATGAAGAAAATGTGGCTTAGACCGAGGCTAAGACCAAATGGACGAGAAATGTGGCCGAAACGAAATGTGGCTGAGATGAGATGTGGCTAAGATGAAATGTGACAGAGACGAAATGTGGCTGAAATGAAATGGACACAAAATGTGGCTGGAACGAGATGAAGCTGCATTATGTATTTTTGCTATATTAGGAGAATCGGTTTATATATCGGGCAACAGCGCATCGTTCGGGTATATTCGGACACTGTGGCAGAGGCGAAATGTGGCTGAGACGAAATGTGGCTGAAACGATACGCAGCCCTTGTACATAGGGTCTCTCAGAAAATAAAAACAAGAGATGAGAATTTCTCTCCTGACCTCGAACCACTGACATGAATATTATCTATACCTTTTCAACTTCAATTTCGGAATCGGTGAGTTATATTTCGGAAAAAGTAATCTCTATTTCAGAATTGGTTAGTTCGATTTCAGAAATGGTAAACTCAATTTCAGAATCGGTGAGATGAATTTCAGAAAAAGTCCATTCAATTTCAGAAATGGTAAGTTGTATTTCAGAATTATTATTGGAAGGTTCAATTTCAGAAGATGAAATCCTTTTATATGTTTGAAATGTTTTTGATTGCAGAAGAGAAGATTGTTTACAGTGGATGGAACGGTGTTTGAGAGCCCTATGTTGAATCAGATTGAACATATACATGGAGTGCCTTCAAGTCAGAAGTGAAGAGCTTCTTGCAAGAGCATCGCCAAAGGGTCATAGCTGGAGATCCGAACAGATTGCTCAACCAGATAGAATTCAGACTGCGATGTCTTGAAGAATGTCCAAATCATTCAATGAAAATGATAACACCTCAAATGTGTTTGCATTCTTATAATCGTGTGCAACGCCACTATCTTCCAGCGATTCGGATGGAAGGCATCTGTGGATTAAATTGAGATTATAATTATGTTATTAAATTGTTTTTGACAAGTTGAATATTGTAAATATGGTTTGTTAATCTCACATGCAATTGGAAACATTTCGAACAAATATAAGGATTTATTTTCTGAAATTGAACCTACCAATTCTGAAATACAACTCACCATTTCTGAAATTGAATGGACTTTTTCTGAAATTCATCTCACCGATTCTGAAATTGAGTTTACCATTTCTGAAATCGAACTAACCAATTCTGAAATCGAGATTACATTTTCCGAAATATAACTTACCGATTCCGAAATTGAAGTTGAAAAGGTATAGACCACTAGTGGTCATATATCGGCAACCCTAAATTCTCGGGTAAATTGCTCGCCTGAAAACGGTTTTGCTCAATGCACAGGAACCCTCAAACTGCTGTTTATGACAGCGAGTAATGTTTCTTAGTGTTCGGAAACATGAGAATAAGATTATATTACAGATCCTAAATGCGTGAGTGGCTTACCTTTCTTAAATCATTAGCGGTTTAGAAAATCATCTGATTTTAAACATAAGTCGGCAATGTAACTACGACGAATTAAATATAATCCCAAGGTTCTTTGAACTTTCAGACAGAGGAAGTATACAATTGTTGATTTTGATTATAAATGAATCCAAGCAACGGGCACCGGCTTCTTTTTCACCAAATAACATGGCAACCGATTTCCTAGGGTTGATGGAGGGACAATATTTTTTTTATATCGATATAATAGACTCAAGGTCCGAATTGAGCCAAATGTTCGCTTCCAATAACTCGTTTTTGGGAAATGACATGTATATATGCGTATCATCCGCATAAAACTGACAATTGCTTAACTGACCTCGTGTGTATGTAGGATGAAAAGCACGGGACCTAAAATGAATCCTTGGGACACTCCGTTTACCACAACAATAAGATACTCAGAGCAGCGCTGATCTAATAGTAATGCTTGTATGCGATTGAACAAGTAAGCTTGTAGTAAAGAAAGGGCTCCTGTAGAGAATCCAATGTAATGAAGAATAGGCAATAATAGTTGGTGTTTAATTCGATCGAAGGCTTTTGTGTAATCGAGCATAACAAGGGCAGTCAAATGTTTGTTGTCCGAAGCATTGAATATGTCATCGGTAATTTTGAGGCGTGCCATGACGCAGCTGTGCTGAGATCTAGCCAGACTGACACCGAGGTATTATTCAATGTTCTTTTAAATGACGACGCAGCACCTGACAAAAAATTATTTTTTCGAAGGCCTTAGAGAGCGTGCAGAGTATTCTGATAGGTCGAAGACATTTGTATTCTTCAGGATTAGGTACTTTGGGTAGTGGTAGAATCAAGGATTTTTTCCACAAGGATGGAAACACGTTTTTACTCAGGCAATAGTTGAAGATGTGGCAAACGACCGGTAGGATAGTTGGACAGCAGTGTAAAAGCATTGTGATATTAATTTTATCTACTCCGGTGGCTTTCGATTTTATATCTATGAGAATTTTATATATGTCTGTCACAGAAGTAGGAGAGAAGGAGAGATTGTTTATATCAGGAAGGGTATTTTTCATAAAAAAAGTTGATTGTATCAAGGTACAATTATTTAGGAACAATGAGTACAATCACAATATTGTAATTATTTCATCTCAATTATAGTCAATGCTTATATCATCTGGCACCTCTGTACTCTGAGATAGGAATATTTCAATTTGAAGCAAGATGGTAAATGATCCCAAGGTAATTAGTGTATTTGATGTATCATTAGGTATAAAGTATATATTTTGTATTGTTATGTGTGATGTTTTATTAAAAATTACTATAATAAGGGCGATTGTCATAATAAGTTTTGTATCATCTGTTTTTACTTTCGGAAAATAAAGATTTTCTCCGTAAAGTTGAATTATCATAATAATCTATCCCACAAATATCACATCAGGTACAGACCACTAATCGATGTCGCAGTGTGACATATTTGTAATATAGAATATACACGTGTATATGACCTGTTAGTGATTTTCTCTGTGATGTCGCATTTCATGTCATAACGGCGTCGCAGCGATGTTCCTTGAGTCGGACATTTTCACATCGCCATACGTTGTATCGGTAACATGTTTGTGACTTCAAATGCGATATCGCATATTACAAAGTGATGTTGCGTATACATCATTTATACCTATCATGGTTGGCTGGGACGGGATTTGGATCCTCAATCCAACGAATTCATATAGTGAAATGAACATGTTTGGAAAAAACTCCCATCCACGTACATTCTGATAAGTTGTGTTTTTTTTTATGTTTCAAAAAAGGGGTCTCAAATCTCTGGCCGCCAATTTTTTGACATCATCGGAGCATTGACGAAAGTCGGCGACCTTTCACTTTTCTATAGGCTTCCACGGGATATTTTCTTCAGATATCCTTCTATTAGTAGCAATACCAGTCAGACCAACTTGACTTGAAAATGATACTCTTGTTTAGTTTCGACAGCTGGTTTCGATAACACTCACCATTTCCGAAATAAATCAATTTCAAAATTCCGCTGCGTAATAAACATAGTAGGTACTTTTTCCTAATAGGGTACCTACCATAATATTTTTCAATTTATTCTTTTCATTGTTCCCCCCATATTTTGAATCAAACATTACAAGTAGATGTTGAAAAAAGGGTATTTTCCATCGAAACATAATTTTTGGGAAAATTTGGTACCATTATTGTTACGCAGCAGACTTTTGGAATCGATTTATCTCTAAAATGGCGAGTGCTATCGAAACTGAACAGGAGTATCATTTTAGAGTAAAAATGATATTTTCATATTTCCTGGTCAAACTGCCGAAAATTGCATAGAAAAAAGTTTTCGTTTTCAAACGTTTCTCGTTTGTTAATCATCATGTATGATATATAAAAACAATATACTATCCAATGTTGCTTATATTTGCCTTTCCTGGAAACATTGCTCATTTAAATTAAGTTTCTCAATTACACAAATTACGTTTCTTTCTGATTTCCTCTGCAATGTTTTTTTTTCAGAATTTATTGTTGCGGGGTCTTGGTCGGATAAAGATAATCTTCAAGAATGTTTCACTATCCGCTATTCTTACTCTATCTTTACGTCCTTTGATTGCTGCAAACTATTCTGATAAACTTATGACTATATTCTTGATCAACATTCTATCAATACCTGGACTGATTCAACATCTACAAACATTATCACCAGAGGTAGAAATTTCAATTACATTGAAGGGTATCTATAAATACTTTTGTTTTTAGTCGATAATGACAATTTGTAACCACAGGTTATTCTCTAGGAGCTTAGAATTGCTATCTAGTCCACAGGCGATGAGAATAGTATTCAACACTCTAGAAGGAAGCTATGCCCTTTGCCTTTTAGCTAATCTGATTCAGCTAGCATTCATTGAGAGGCACACAACATTCAAAGAAATATGTTTCCCTACGTTTACGGTAAAATCCAGATTTTTGTTAACTTTGCAACATGATCAATCGAAGTATTTGAAGGTCGTGGTTACTGGACTACTAGAAAGCTGCCAGAATTACGTAGTTAGCAAACAGTCAACTCTAACGCATTGGCATCCCGTTTTGGGATGGTTTGCTCAACCTATGGATCCATCCTTGCATTCAGCTATGCCACATGTAAAGATACAACTCCATCTGTTGTGGAATATCGAGATAATACAAATTCTTTTAGGTAACGACCCAGGACTAAGGTGCCTTGATGTGCGTTTGATAAATTTGTCATTCTACTAGGGTATGGACTGATTAGGGCTTAAAGAGTGAAAAGTTAGCCCTTTAAATTTTTTGAATTATCACACAGAGCTATGTATCATCATGGTATAGTGTCAATTTCTGAAAGACTGCAATTAACCAGCAGATTCGATTCAAAGTAACTGGACATCAATTGTGGCAATCGAAAGTTACAATGAGTCCCATTTGATCAAAACTTTTCGATATAACGTTTGTTTTGTTTGTTTGTTGTTCTATTAGATTCTCGCTCGCGCATCTAGTGTAGAATTTGATGCGATACTTGTCAGCAGTCTGCTGAGAATTGTCATATGTTTGTATTTTAACCCATCACACATTCTTCAAATGTCGCCTATTTCTGAAATAATGAATTCATTCCATACATTTGCATCATACTGTATGTATATGTATAGGACTAACCACCTTTGTAAAATCTTCAGTTTCTGATCGTTCTGATTTCAAAAGCACATCATTATTGGGCTGTTATTATGGCCGACTACGTCCACTTTTATAGGCTCAAATTTCAGAAAATTTTGTTCGGAAAATCATAAATATACGAATACCTCTGTATTTCTTAGTTTGAAATTGGATTCTGTGAAGCTAATAAGATACATAACAACATAGATTCATAGATACATGAATAGATGGTCTGTCCGTACCTTTATAAAATGACAAAAGTACTCGCTTCAAATTGACATCCTACGCAGGACAAAGGTGAATCTATGATTTATCTGAATTATAATATGTTTCAGGCAATTCACTGTCCGTTCTGGTAGCTGGTTCCGAACCACCTGGACAAAGTTTGAGTCCTACTCAGAACTCTTTCAGTAGCACCAATTTTTTCAGAAAGGTTCTTGAAAATAGGGGGAGCCGGACCACTACTCAGAGATCTTATAGAACTCTAGGTAGCCCTGAGGTTCATAGGATAGTTCTGATCTGTTCTATGTATCATACAGCATTGAATACGTTGACTCAACTGCAGCTAGATATTTTGACAGGTAATTTTTACATTTTATATAACTTCGACCAATCTATAGCCAGCTACTCATCTTCTGTTTAGAAGGATAGTTTGGCGAAGATCATGATTTTTTATTTTTCAAAATGGCAAAAAAGTCGAGTAATAGTTTATTTGAGAGGAAATATTCATATTCAAGAATTGCGAAAAATCAACGTGCCAGAACATTTTTTCATCAGATCATCTGTTAAATAGTTATGAAGTGTGTCTCACTTTGATCGGTCCCGCCACTATATCTCAGCTATTAGTCAGCTATTATAATATTGTTCCTCATGTGCTTGTTTGGTACATTTAATTTATCGCTCTAATTTCGGATATAGCCTTTATATAAAAAGATAGAAATATATTTTATTACCTATAATTCATTGAATTATCATTACCTTTATTTTAGGATTGTGTTACCAGAATTCCATGTTATACGATCTATGGTTATTTTTGTGTTCCTTGGGACAATTTTGTGGTATGAAACCATTTCTAGATCTTCTGGCCTTCAATACCAAATGTTCAGCCCCAGAATTCCAGATGCTTCAGTTATTTGGAGATTGTATGGCTCATTATGTAACGTAAGAAAAAATATACAAAATGTGTTACTATGATCTTTCATCATGCATATATATTTTTTCAGAATTCTTGATGATATGGAAATGTATGAACAACAGAATCCGTTCAAACTTAATGATTTTGTCTCGATGTCCAACTTTTTAAACGTTTTCTTGTACAAGGCGGTACTGGGAAATCTTTTCGGTTTGTAAATTAATCTTTCATACAACAGCATGAACAATAAAACTATTTGCAAAGTTAGATTATTTTCCCTCAAAATGGAAATCTTATTGTTCCTTTTCTTTAAACTGTTTCAATTCTATTGAAATCAATTCCTTGTAACAAAAATGGTGAGTCAGTCTTTTTGTAGCAGGACTTTTGGGGGTTGTACGCATTTTAACCCTCTTGACTTTTCTGTGTGCTGAGTCTGCTTTCAATGAAACGTTAATGAAGATTCTCTGTTTTATTTGGAACCTTTTTGCTCTTCTATTTGTTTTTCGAAAACTGTATGGATTTCGAGATATATGCCAAAAATAATTTACTTGTGATAAAACTTCATTTTTCGAACACACTCTATTTGGCATTTCTTAATAATTGACTAGGTGACTTGGAATGATCGAAAGCTCTCATAAGATGTGATTATGAAACTCAGTGACAAAACTTGAAAAAAAAATATCACACCACCTGTATATCGGAAAAGATGCTCCCACGCATATATGTTTATATGAGATTATTTCTTAAAATAGTATAATATTCTTCAAGCTGTTGAAGTACTGCTACATAAAAATGATTCACTCTGTTTATGTCTTTATAATTACCCATAACAAACTATTTTTTTTAGATTTCAAAACAATCCACAATAATTCTCTCTTTGGTTCGTTGCATACACTCTTGATGCTTCTCTACAGAAGAGATTGTAGAAGGAATTACACGCCACAGGGACACTGGTTGATCAAAGATATCAGGGTATCTACATTCATCGCAGATTTAGAAAAAGGTCGTAGAGCTCCGCAGTTGCTTCTTCAAACCATGCCACATATCATCCCACATGAAGACAGAGTTAGGCTCTTCAGGAAGCATATTACTAACGAGAAAACCGTACTGGGATTGACTGAATCGGCTTGTGCCTCACCTCAGTCTACACTGATTACAGTTCACAGGTGAATGTCAAATTATTTTCAATTTCTATACTTCATATTGATCGTTCCATGTAATAATCGCATTTGATAAAGTCATTCATCATTCAAATTTATCACAAATTTTTTTTTTCAATAATATTCATAATCACCTCAAAGAAACGCTAGTTGTCGATGATATACCGATAAGAATTCAAATAATACCCACACGCAAATGAATCATCTCCAAAACAATGTACTTTGTACTTTCAAATAGTTTCGCAATCGACCACTTTGGCGCTGCGATCTTGAATTCAGTCGCCTTTCGTCAATGGTCAGTTGTATATGGTTAAAATCGGTTAAATTATTGAAGTTGCACCCTCTGATGAACCTATCAACATGTAATCACAAGTTTGTGGAGGTTGATTATTTGAATACAATTTCCAATTAACATTCATGAATCTCATTGTAGTAAATACTTCGGCGCAACGATCAATAGTAATCTGAAATGGGATGAAAGTTATTATCCTCCACACCTTTTTTGGGTTTGTATTTTTATTTTTGTTTATATAGTCTAGATACTGAATCAGAAGAATATATAATAATTGATCAGGTAATCATGGAATTATAAAAATTATCTAGATTCTAGATTATGATGATGCCGATTTTTATGGAACTTGTGATTCAGCATCCTTTCCCTGTACTATAGAAAAATTGATATTCATGAATAAATCTCATGACTTCAGATATTTCAACATAGATGGGAGTTAGTGGTCCAGATTTTCAATCCCAAGGAGGAATCCTTTTTCAAAATGGTAAGTTTTTTGATTCTAGGAACCGTATTGTCGAAGACGGATACAGACAGTTGGCCCTTTTACCATCTCAATCCTTGAAGGGCGTCATAAGGGTGAGATTTATCAATGAGCAAGGTTTAGACGAGGCTGGTATTGATCAGGATGGTGTGTTCAAAGAGTTTCTGGAGGAGAGCATCAAGAGAGTATTCGATCCTTCCCTGAACCTGTTCAAAGCTACCAGTGAGGAGCGCTTGTACCCAAGTCCTACTTCTGCTGTGCAGGACAACCATTTGCAGCTATTTGAGTTTGTGGGAAGAATGTTGGGTAAGCGATACTTATTTTAGAGGTGCCCTTACGCTCGAATCATCTGTGAATGTTTCCTTCATTTTATTTTTGGCATCTCGATTTCCCTGTTATCCACCAGCTTCCCAATGGAATACAAAATTCGTCACACTTTTAGAATAGGCATTCTGTGCTCACCAGTTATACCAATGGAATTTGTCACAAACAAATATGACTTGTGGTATGCATTCTTGAACAAGCATGTTTTTTAGGATGCTGATCACGAATCTGAGGTTAGCCACCGAAAAATGTTCCTGGAATTTGAGTAATAGCCGGAAAACATGGAAAAATATGCTTATTCCTAGTTTTTTGCACATGACTCAAAAACTATATAAAATTTTTGTTCAGTCTTAAAATGATCAGAAGTAAATTATTGAGTATATTTCAGTGATTTGAGTATTCATATTTTTTTCGTCAAACGTACCATTTTGATGCATTTTATAGTTGAAGGTCGACGAATAATTGACATAACTGTTAGCGCTGATCAGCCAACACAGAGCCATTATGTGGTGTCTGTATGTACCAATTCATTTTATATGCAATAGTTGATAACATAATATTATGTCGTTGGAAGTGGGAGAGGAGCTACTTGAAATTACCTGAAAATAACGAATTCATCACTTTTCGTTCTGGACTTCATCATATAGGAAAAGGATCAGTAATTCTTCCCGTTGCTCTTACTTTCGGAAAAAAGTTATACAAACGTACTCGACTATTGCTAATTTAGCGAATCGAATAAAAGTATTTGAAAAACGTAGGAAGAAATATCAAATCTTGAACTCCCCACAGAAAAAAATCAGACTGAAAGATTCATTATGCTTTCTACAAGAAGTCAAGATTCGATGCCAAAGCTCAACAACCACAAAAACGTGTATTTTCTGTTTCTCTTGAAATGATGACTATTGATTCATGAATTTTTTGTAACTGGTCATTTGTCTTTCCTCCTAAACTTCTCCTGGTACCCCTCAGACACTTGTGACGCTTTGCCCACCCTGAACTACTTATTACATACGAAGTTTACATCTGTTAGCACATGAGGGAAAGGGCTGATTTAAATGGACATGCAAAGCCACAATAAAATATCAATAGTCGAATAAGTAGTTTTCAATCATACATCATGATCAAAACATATTGGAAACAAGGTGATCATTGATGTCTCTTGGTTGATGGTCCAATATCTTCTCGAATATCATCGGTGTCTCCATCGACAACTAAAGATATCATTGCCTCCAGCAAATCATCAGGTAGTTCACTATCACAATCTTATTACTTTCAAAAACTGGTGTTTCAATATTATTGCAGGTGTCCTAGCAATGAAGACACAATTTCACTTGCAGGATATCTTATGTAAGACAGAATCAGGTGACGGTCAGTCCTGAGTTGTCACAGTTTGAAACCTACCGTTTGTTTTTTCCCAACCAATCTTCAGGCCTCATTTCATTCCCAAACCATCAGTGTTGTGTCTGATGGTAAACTTTCCCCACAAATGAAGATGAGGCTATCAATTTGTTTCTAAATTCCATCATCATAGGTGAAGAAGTGTATGCATCGTGGTAGACGTTCCTTTCGCCTCGTTCTCCCAGAGCCAAGTGTCAGGCCAGTCGGCCCAAGTGCTGTACAGCTGCGTGGACGAGCTGCTCTCAAAATTTTCAGAAATCATCTTCATGGTTTCTTTTACAAATTTCTGCTGCCTCGACTCCTTCTGTAAAATAGTTTTGTACAGTTGCGTGAACGAGCGCGATAAAATTGTTCCTATATTCCATCATAATTGGTGAAGTTTCACTCTAGCACCTACTTCTCTTCTATTGCAATAACGCGACCAGTGTTGTCACTATTGCACCTACAGATGTCACGATACTCTAGAAGTGTAGATATCGAAATTTGCTATCCGACGGTGGTTCTTACTCAAAAATCGACTATTTTGAGTTATCACACTATTGTTCTCAGCGTGCAAAATACGACTTGTTTGTGACGACAGGCTATCGATCCAATATATCATAATTGGTAAAGCTCCACTCTAGCACCTACTTCTCTTCTATTGCAATAAAGTGACCAGTATTGTCACGCAGTACTTATTGGACATATATATGTCACGATACTCTAGAAGTGTTGATCTCGAAATTTGCTATCCGAAGGTGGTTCTAACTCAAAAATCGACTATTTTGAATTATCACACTATTGTTGTCACCGTGCGAAAGACGACAGGCTATCGATTTGTGTCTAAATTCCATCATCATAGGTAAAGCAGTGTACGAGGGCATCGTGGTAGACGTGCCTTTCGCCTCGTTCTTCCTGAGCCAAGTGTCAGGCCAGACGGCCCAAGTGCTGTACAGCTGCGTGGACGAGCTGCCCTCCCTCGACCCAGCGCTCTACCGCAGCCTCAGCTACGTCAAGCACTATGAGGGCGACGTTGCCGATCTAGATTTGACCTTCAGCGTCGACGAGGATAGCATGGGCAAAATCGTGACGCACGAGCTGGTGCCAGGTGGCAGGGCAGTGCAAGTGACGAATGAGAATAAGTGAGTGGCGAATGAAGGTCGTGACACAATGCACAGGAATAAGAAATAGAAAATAGGGAACAAGGAATGAGGAATGAAGAATATAGATATTATTCATTTTCAAGGCAGCAGGAATGAGAGGAAGCAGGAATAGAGTTGAATATTGACCAGTAAACAGCTTGCAAATGACGTTTCATACCATTGTCAGTTTTGATATTTTGTTATTTGTTCTAAGTATTTTCGAGTATATACCTATTTGTGATGCAAAACTTGAATAGTAATAGGTTACTGCTCTTATAAAATGATATATTGAGATAATTGAGAATTCGCGATAGAAAATTAGCGTACGCCACCTATCGGAGTTCTTGAGAGCTGTCAAAGCGGCATGTTGACTTTGTTTTCATTGATTCACATTTGTTTTTTGTTTGTGCTCATTGGTCATATATCATCAAAACGAACCACTCAGAAGTGTTAAAGTTGCTGCCGTCAGGTGAGGTGATGTGTCATTTTCTATCGTGAATAGTATACAGTGCAATATTTGAAAATATACAATGTTCTGATTGGTCAAAGGGTTGATGAAATAAGAATATGAAATAAAAATTCCGTCATGATCTGAAATATTCATCATTTTTTATTCTTCATTCCTTATTCCTAATTCCTCAAGATATATTGTGTATTCCAAGATATAACCACATGTGTGGGAATCATTATTTTTTGTTTCCTATTATAAATGCTGTATTCTTTAATTATTTTTTTCTTATTTTTTCGCATTGTGTCACGACCTTAATGATAGTTTTTTTTCACGATTTCTCATTACATAGTTGTGTTTTGATATAAGTATACCAGGTGGTCTATCATAAAATGCGGAAAATGTATGTAGGTTGTTAGAATCGAAAAAAAAGGAGGCACTGGTTTTAATGCAGACAAATAATCTAAATTATTTCAGATTGTGCAGGCTTTCTCCAAAATGAAATACTGATACTATTTTTCCACAGGTTAAGATGAGTCAGGATTTATGAGAGTTATCTGTTGATCAATTTTGAAAGGTTATATATCTTCCAAAATACACCACATCATTAATACCGGAAAGGTTCCACTAATTGAGTAAGGAGTACACATAACTTTTAGAATAATCAAAATTATATTCTGACTGTTGAATATCATCAATAAACCTCAAATGTGCTTAAAACTTCCAAACACTCAATACGAATGAGAGCGAATTTGAATATCCAGGAAAACGGATCAAACTGTTGTTGGTCGAAGGCTTGTAATGTTTGGCCACATTGAAGAATAATTCTCCTATGAGGTTATTGGAATTAGGTTCTATGGATGAAGACATCAATGAAAATTCAAAGATTCTATATCTCAATGCAAAATTAATTAAACAAATTAATGGATTGGAAATTATCACAAATCAAATGAAAGTTGCTGCGGTTGTCATAACAGAAACATGGCTGAATAAAGAAGAAAAAATATATTTCAATTCCAAAAACTCCAATTTAGTTTTTGCAAGTCCTGATAAACGAGGTGATGGTGTTGGAATTTTCATCCATCACATATTTGATTTTGAAATAATTCAAATGGAACTAACCAATTCAACATATTTAGCTATTGAAATTAATTACAGTGTTAGAGTACCAAGAAATTGGAAAATACTTCTTGATTATCAGGAGTATTGTTAGATATTTTGAAAAATAAAGCAGAAGTCGGCTAAATGAAAGAAAAATAGTGTTGCTTGTAACAGGAGCAAATCGTCTTACTGATGTCTATTAGCCTTGGATCAGATTCGTTACAAATAGATAGATAGAATATGGAAATGAAGAAGAAAAGAGGTTTTGATGAAAAGTTTGATACAGTTATTATAATTCCAGGATCAACTATATTCATTTGATGGCGCATTTTCGAATGCACGTCCAAATCAAAGACCAGACAGCAGCTTTCATCAGAGGTTTCCGGTCCATTGTCAATCCAGATTGGCTGACACTATTCTCAACACCAGAGGTAGGTCCTTGCTATTTTATTTAGGCATCTAAAATATTAGCCGAAGCTTCCAGAGTTTGCATCACCTAAAATTATAGGAACGTTTTCTTTCTGTGCTTTCAAAAATGAAAACATATTCAAGTGCAAAAATAGTTGAAGTTGACGTTGGAGCCGTTCCAATTGTCTTTGAAAACAGCATAACTCAACTTGAATTCTCAGTGACCTTTCTTTGTTTCTGTATTTTTCCGATCCAATACGATTTTCTCTGCGTTGGACAAGGTATTCATTTTCGCGAGTGGGCTACTGGCCTGGTAGGGAATAATTGGCATCAACTCCTCTGTGTCGATACGGACCTGAATTATTTTTTGCAGCACTTCTTACGCCTTTTTGATGTAAATAATGTGTCTGCTTTGTTTGAATTTGTTGAATTTCAAAGCTTATTTCTAACGTGTCGTCATGGCCGCCATTTGACCGTGTTTGGGTATACCTCGGATACACACCATGCCCCCCGAAAGGTTGAATGCCCAGGATCAAGTGCCGCCATATAACTTACGTTATATGATAGCTCCTCATCCCCATGTCCATCCACCCCCACTCACTAACGAGTGGACTTCAACCTTATGCATTTGGCAATCTGCATATGTTTTATAAAACCCCTTACTCGCTTTCAGTCTTCCGACTTTTAAACCTTTTTGTCTAGTGTGTGTTTCCTAGCCTGACTTTGCGTGGTGGTTCCTTACCCTAATGGGAAGCAAATTTGAGTTTATGTATTATTATTATTGGTTTACTTTTTTATAGGGTATCAAAGGAGAGACTCTTCAGTTTAATTATCTGAAGATTGTTATGCAACTTTTATTGATATTGATTTAATTTCGTTCTTTTATCTTATATTTGGTGGATATTTGGATAAATGGTGACGTCAGTTTTCATATTTTTTCATCATTGGTCAAATAATCTTCCATTCGCACTCATAAAGCAAGGTTATCAGATCACCAATTATAATCAAATTATTAAAAAGTTGTTAGAGCCCTATCAATAGAACTAGGGGACGTGGGGGGAATGAGAGCAGGGAAAAACAAGGTGGAAATTCAAATTTATCGCATCATGCATTGGTCCCGTTGTCGACAGTACTTTAGTGTGTTGTGAATCTCGTACTACATGTGATAAAACCGCAAGTGCTGATTGATATCTACAAAATATTTCTGTTTCAAATTACGTCTATATCTGAACTTGACATTCAAAATGCCCTTCTTCCTTGCATATATTTTTCTCAAACCTGAATTATATTATTTGCTCTAAAACTTATTATAGAAACTTTAAAACATATAGTAAGGTTATGTTTCTAGAGGATAATAAAATTCGATATTTTTTAAATTATTCTTTTTTTTTCACTTCATTTTCTGACAAATACAGTTTCATAAGTCCCTATAATGAATTTTGTACATCCATTTCCTTCACATTCAATGTTATTCTCTCATTTGAATAAAATCATAAAGATGTTAAGTCCAATTGAAAGTTGAATTTACACTCATAATTTATAATTTCGATCATAACTTTTTCATTCGAGAAGATATCAAAATGAATCAAACCGCATTCAATAGTGGACTATTTGTATATGTCCACGATTGACATGAAGAAATTTACCATGAATAATGAACAAACTATTCAGTACGTCTACATTTACCCTCATGAGGAAAATAATGGACAAAAAATAATTAAAAAAAGAAAATTCAATTAAAGATTACCCTATCGGAATATGCTATCAATTGGTCAGGGTTTTCTGATTCATACATCAACTACAATAAACATAGGGGATACTACTTTTTCTGACCTAATGGTTTTCGAAATATGCCAGTCCCTTGTCCACTATTAGGGAGTTAGTCCATTATTCCCCTAGTCTCCCTTACATCCAGATGAATATTTCATTTGACCTAATAGGAGGAAGCCATGATATTATAGTTATTGATTTGTAACTTTTTTGAGCAACGAGCTTGTCAAAATATGACTTATAGCCCATAATAAAACATCATGTAACTATCGACTATATAGACTTGGTAATGCTGTGCTGAATGCTGAGAACTGACAAGACAACGCCCACAGTCTTTTGTTGTCACGTTTTTCGTTTCCTCTAGTCTGAAATAATATAATTATTATCTACACAAATTTATCATAAGCAATAACACACAACATAATAATATAAGAGGGACAATTTTGAGACAATAGATTTTCCATGTCTAATTAAGGATACTACTAATACATAATTAAGAATTTATGAATTATTAAATAAATAATATTTCTGAAGTTGCCATTCGTATTTCAACATAATATGGTAACTTTGCTATGGTCTGCCCCTACTTACTAAATCTAGCCGTTTGAAAATTACAATATTGATGATTTTAGCACCCTAAAATTGTCAGAAAAATCTTTAAAAAATATGGAATTGAAAGGTGATTAAGTGATGTTACTTTTTAAAAATGAAGACAAATAATCAACTGGCCCATTGTGAAATATTGATTCTTAATAATTAGCACCCTCCAAAAAAATGTTCTGGATGCCCTAGTGGATCAAAACTTCCGTTGAAATGTTCTGTTTTCTTTTTTAGCTACAAAGATTAATATCCGGTGACAATGTCCCGTTGGACCTGAAAGACTTGAGGAAAAATTGTCAGTATTACGGAGGTTTTCACGATTCACACAGGGTGATCGGATGGCTGTGGGATATTTTGGAAAAAGACTTCACTAAGGATGAAAAAGGAATGTTCCTCAAGGTAAAAAGCCCTAAAAATTCAATTAATTGGATGTTATGAATATTCAATACAGCAGACAACATTTAAACAACCTACTGGAACAGCGATATCATCGACGTTCCATTCAGATTAATGTGGTTATCAAATCCCAAATATGAATTTTATAGAACCGTCTAGTTCATTCAAGTATTATATTTTTCAGTTTGTCACAAGTTGTTCTAAACCACCACTGCTTGGTTTTGCACACCTTGAACCCCCATTTTCAATAAGATGCGTTGAGGTAGGGGACGATGAAGACACTGGGGACACTATTGGTGAGACATATAAGATAAACATGAATGTTCTCAACTTAATAATGTTTTCATGCTATATTCCAGGTAGTGTGTTCAGGGGGTTCTTCACCATTCGAAAAAAAGATCCTCAAAATCGCCTTCCGACCTCCTCTACGTGTTTTAATCTCTTGAAGTTACCGAACTATCAGAAGAAAAGTACTCTCAGAGAAAAACTGAGATATGCAGTCACTTGCAATACTGGATTCGAGTTATCTTGATCCAGCTGTAATTTTGAAAAATATGAAAATATGCTACCCACGGAATTGACGATTGTGTCATATCAGTTTTTTACAATTTTGGGCAAAATAGTTTTTTATAAAAATGTATGGAATGAAAGTTGAGTAGTCGTCGTTTTATTAGTATGGAATAAAATTGAACAAATGTCAACTCCAATTTATATCGGATAATTTCCATCCATCAGATTCATTTAAAATAATTTACAAAAACTTTTTTGATACTTGAAATTCACAAGATATTTCAAACTAAATATTCGCTCTAAGAAGAGAATTGATGTATGATCAAGCTAGTTTCCTGTATATTCACTAATTTCACCTGTTAATCGTTTTTGTCTCTTATTGGAGCGTCCGACATTTCAATCATTGACATGTATATTTTATGAATTACACTTTTCCATATTGTCGGGACAGGATTCGTCCTTGTAAAAGTGCAATTTTCCAAAAATTATTAGATCTCAGATTTGATATTCTATATATAATGTGATTGTGTTTTATATGTACATTTGTATGTTGACTTAATAATAATAAAGAACCTTATTTTGTATTTTAGAAGCGCTTTTATTTGTGTCCCTTTTCTCCATTCCTGGCTAAAGAAATATTTATAGAGTGCACCTTTTAAACTTATTGGGAAGGAAACAATGCTCCTCCTAACCTATAACCTTCTCTAGGGGTCTAAAGATGTATAGCAACAAGATTTGCATTAAATTTCAAATTCAGAGTGAGATCCAGATCTTGAAATTTTAGAACTACACCAGCGATATCGACGAAGAAGACTACAAAAAACATTGGATGTGATAGCCGTGATGAGTAATTTCATGTACGTTGTACTCTGGAATGGATTTCAAAGAAGCAGCTGAAAATGAATACAGCATTTTGCATGCTCTCAAAAGTAGAGTTGTCATTCACCATATAATTTTATATGTGAAGTGTTGGACTGAAGGAATAAGATTTTATTTTACAAAATATATAGGTTTTTTTTTCTTTTTTTCAATTAGTGTTTCTGCATTTCAACTTTTAAGTTGCATAAGGAATATTGCAATTGTTAAATGGTCAAAAACAGGCGTTCATTGCCCGAAAAGTAGCGAATGATGGTCGATAACCAGTACAAAGCTGGTCGCCATTAAGTTTAGGGGCGGTCGAAAACTAGTAAAAAGCGCATTTTTCAGAATTTGTTATTTTTTTAAATTTTCAGCAAGACAAACTTCAATTTCCAGATTTTTGTCCATTTCCATGGTTCCTGAAAGTTCAATCTATCAGGGTTATGAAGTTCAGTTATACAGGGTGTACACGTTGGATATCCTATTAGAAGTATCTGGAGAGCAAAAAGACAGAACATTCTGAACATTGGGATGCTCTGATAATTGAACATTCTCTTTCCGTCTAAAATATTTTCATCGATACATCAGTGTTGCCACTTCTATCAGAAACAACTAGCAACTTTGTTATTTCAAATGGAGCACCCTGTATTTTATTGCATTTCTATATTCATCCTGAACAGCTGATTTCATCAATGTATCACACTTGGCATCACTTGTGGTCTAGCAGAAATGATTACAGAGATATAGGGTGTTCAAAATCGCGATTTTGCAATTTTAGGATTTTTTTTGTGTCGAAACTATTCATTATCGATCAAAACGGCTTTCATGTCCCTATCTCAACCTTCGATTCATCACTGCCTATTGACATTTAATTGGAACAGATACAGTGTGATCAGAATATTCTGGATCTTGAAGTACCCTGTATTTTTTCCAATTAAATTTCAGTAGATAGTAGTTGTACTGAAAAATTCCAAATTTCGGTCCTGAATGATAGAGATGATACATCAACTTTGCATCAAACAACAGAAATTGGAAGCGGGGATTATTATTTTCTGATGAAAATCATATTATTGTCGATAATTAGTGATTGAAAGTGAGTATCATAATAAAGCTACTAGAACGAGATCGTTTTGTCGGTGTTAATTTTTTTTAATATTACATATAAAAAGTTATTTTAGAAAATTCAAATTCGAGCCACATATGTAAAATTGGAATAGAAGCCCATCCCATATCCCATCCCATACTATCCCTAGAGAAAATATTCTTGGAGATATAGTAGAATTTTGTTAGGTCTGCAAAGCCAAACGCCCATCGCCATTTTGACAAACGGCAGGGAAGTAAGGGAAGATATATCCTACAATTCCTGAATAAGTGGGACATAGTATGGGATCACATCATTGAGTATCACAAGGGTATCACATGTATTTAAAGTTGAAACAATGGTAACTGTAGACACAATGCACCGCAACAGGTGTAAAATCATGTTGAAATCTGTTTTGAAAGGGGTTAGGAATCTGTAATTATAACTTGAACTTAATGGTAGAAAACTATCTTGAGTGAATGTAGTGAACTCTATTGGCAAAAGATGAAACTTATGTGGGTATAGTTGATAGGGTACTGATGTAATTATTAGATTACGGTAAAAAAAATTTTTTGGAGCATAAGAAAATGTCAGAAGAAAATACAATCATGGGCCGTGGACAGTTGAAATGTTATGTATGGAAAACTACTTGGAAAAACAAAGAGAATTGAAAAATGGCATACAATGTATTCGATCATTATTACTATATATCTACTGTGAAAAATAAAAGAGTTATAGGGGGAAGTACGTTGTCACCCGGTGCAATACATTTTCCATATTTTGTTTTATTTATTTGATGAAATATGGAAAATATATATACAGAAATGATTGGTTATTCCAATGTAATAAATCTTTTCCATTATTCTTTGAATCAATATAAAATATCATCAATCTATATTATTGAAGCCCCGCGTTTAAAAACCCTTCTGTAGAGATTAAAATAATTTTACTTTGCTTCTCTTTAACTCTTATCATTGCAATGGAGCTATAGAACGTTCTCCACATTACGTGAGCACCCAGTAAATAACCTCAAAAAGTATAAATTTTCAAAGTTGCCCGGTATCTCATGAACAGGAATAGTTATCAATTAGGAAAAATCCAAATACTCAAAGTGGAATGCAATGGTCACAAAGAGAGAGAGAATCAAAGTCATTACCTACCACAATAGTTCATAAAATGAACGAAAATGATTAACGAGAGAAAAACAACTACTTTCCTGGCAATATGCCACGCAAAATATTTGATTGCGCCTAGGCGATTTTATTCGTCTATATACAAATTATTGCATAGATTTCAGGAGGATGGAATCCAATAATGTTCTGCGTGGCCTATAGCCAGGAAAGTAGTTGTTTTTCTCTCGTTATCTACCATTTTCGTTCATTATATGAACTATTGTGGTAATGACTTTGAGTTTCTCTCTCTGTGTAAGGAATAGTTATGCAAAATCTAATAAGGCTTACTTTAGTTTCAAGAAAAAGTAGGACACAGGAACGTGAGAACCGCAAAGCTATATATCTCTAAGAACAACCAAGAAACCAACATCCAATAAAAACAACGATTTGTTTGCTGGAACTAGCCAGTTCGCAGCATTTTATTCTAGTCCGCAAATTATACACACCCGGAGTACTTAGTACAGCTCTGTTTCCATTGTTACCAATAACTTGAGATGATCCAATATGGTCCTGGTCCGAGCGAGGATAGATGGACCACTCTGTATACCTATTTTCATCAATTGAGCCTCGCGATTTCAATTATCGATTCAACGTTACATCGACCGATGAAGTATAAAGGGGAAATTCCCATCCTACAGATAAGTATATCCTGAAGGCGCAATTTTCCGCAATTTTCATTCCTCATGACTCTCATGAGTGCATGGTTGTCGGAAGAAATTTCCAAATCCTGACATTGATTATTTTTTATACTCGCTCAGAAGAATATGATTTCGGTCCTGATCAGAATGAGAATCAGATATTTTCAACTTCCTTCTATATCATTCAAACCTACTCGATCCCTCCAAAATCAAAATAGTGAACGCATGAACGGCACTTATAGGTAAATACGAGAAACAAATAATGTCGAATTTTCAAGATCTCTAAAAAAATGGGTATGAGTCCATGATTGATGAAATAATAGTCCATGGATCTCCCATGAGGCCCTATATAAGTTTCATAATTGTTCTTTCAATGATATCAATATGTTTCGAACAAATTATTGAGACTTCAATAGTTATTCCCTAGACTAGAATAGAGAGATCCGAGGGCCAAGAGTAGGCAAACCAAAATACAGTCACACAGTCAGCTGTTGATTGAACAGCCGCGCAAGCGCTTTTCCATCCTCAACTTCGCCAACTGATGCACAGCCATTTAAATTTCAGAATTCACATTCAGTCGGCCACGAACCGTGTGTGGGTTCGCAGTGAGTGTATCTCCAAAGGCAGTACTGTCACCCTTTTATTTTTTATTTACAAAATCACCTCTCGGTTACGTTCTAGTGACTTCATCCTCGAAACAGACCGAAGTGTGATACAAACTTCAAGTGAGAACGCAGTGCTCGTGAACGGAAAAGTGTGGCTGTACAGCGTAAAAACAAGGCTCCCCGATCGTCGTCTTGCGGACTCGCTAGGGGCGGATATCCGTGCTTAGGGATGCTCGTAGTGTGATGTTCTTTTGAATCGGCTGGTATTTTGATGGCTGTGGCGGTACCGAACTGCCACTCGAGGGTGTCGATGTCAGTGTCGATGAGCGTGATGCAAGGAACCGCCGGGCCCACGGCCGCCACTGGGCAGCAAGGGGGCCTGCACGCGGCTGCCCAGCCCTATTATCACCCCCAGCATGCCGCCACGCCGGCCCATACCCAGGAACAGGTCCAACCGGACAGGCCCATCGGGTACGGAGCCTTCGGAGTTGTCTGGTGAGTGTGCATGGCAGAGGCGGAGGTTGTTCGACTGTAGAAGTTGGTAAAATAGAAAACCAAACTGAAGCTTTTGCATGCATAATATCTTGGTACCTTCCTACCTTATTAGGTTTCAGGTAGGTATTACAAACTACCTAGAATTGTAATGGACGAATAGGGTACTAGATAGATACTTATCAATAATTG